TTTCTATTCGGACTCGGTATGTTTTTGTAATCCTAAGTAAAACAATCATTGAATTGTTTTATAAGTTCTACCATTTCTTGTTTGTCTTATGGCTCTACGTTAGCATTCATATAAGTGATCTTTTCTTCTTCTTCTTATTTCCGCACTTATGTTTACCTTTCTTAGGGGGTTAGCTTTTCCATAAGTCCTTATACCCGCATTATCGTAGCTCTGCGAGCTCTATATTAGTAAGTCGGTTTTGTGTTATTGTCTAATTTGGATGGCGTTCCAACATCAATTTCCTTTCTATTAGGTATGCCACTAATCTTTAAATGGTTGGTTGGACTTTCTCCCTTCAGAGTCACCTTTTTTTAGATGTCATTCATTAGGAATCTGTTTATTATCCCTTTCGAGCTTCTCTTATGTAAAGTGCCTTATTAGGGGTAGATTTTGTTCTTCTAATTCTTTGATTTTGAAAATAGATTATGGTTGTATAACACCGATGTGTACTTTGATATGTCTACACTCTCTTGTATAAAGCATAGCCTTTAAATGGTTGGTACTCGGCTATGAAGGGTTTGTTATCTATATGTAAGGTTTCAAACTTTTCTCTATTCCGAATAGCATAAGTCGATATAAGATAAAGAGGATGCAACTATTAATATATAGCCAATCTCTTCTTAGTAGTACATTATAGTTAGATATGGTGTCTATTATAAAGAAAGTTGTATTGATGGTTACTATACCTAATTCGAACTCACTACCACTATACGTCTAGCCTTTAAGATATTCTCTATAAACCCATTGACTACTACCTTAATGGGTGTGCAATCTTTCTTTATCTAATTGATAAGATCTAGCATATACAATGAAAGAATGTTGATCTGTAACTCCATTATCTACTAGGATTTTATTGATCTGGAACCTCATTTATATTGGTTCGATGTATAGAGGTTTGAGATATAAAGGGGTATTCCTCTTATATTTCTATATGAGGACTTTTATAGCTTCTTAATCTCTAATTTGACCTTTTATCTCTTGGGTGGATTGAGTTTCATTGGAGCTAATCGCATAAAGACGATCAACGTTGTAATCTTGTAGGTCACCAATCTCATGTATTATCTCATAGTATCTTCGAAGTATCATATGTTACATCTTCTTTTAGAGGCATTGATTCTTTTGATATTAGAAGCAATTTTATAGGTAATAGAGTAACCATGTTGCATCTTATATCTTTTGTGTCTCTAGAATACTCATCGATCCGCAAGCCACTTTCATCTTGAAGAGCTTCCAACATGTCATTATCCACGTTGTTTCTTTGAGGAAAATCTATGAAAAGGTCTTTATTTAGCTTTTTATGAATCTCGAGGTTGTCATTATCTTTCTCCTCGGATGCGGTTCAAAACTTGATGACCAAGTTGATGTTGGTTTAGTCAATGATGAATCTTGATTTCATTCTTGCCAATGAATGTTCTTCTTTGGAACCCCTTTGTTTCTAGGAATCATCGGCCCTTTTATGCTTGGGTCCTCCTTTGTTTTAGTCTTTACGACTACTTAGCCCTCTATTGGATCCATTTCTTATTCTTCTTTTTATATGACTTAGTCACAACTATGGTCCATCTATGATTTTTTCTTCCTTTTTGGCAACCGATGATTCTTGAGAAGGTGATTCATCATTTAAAATATGAACTTTTTCCTTGGAAGAGTTTTGTTAGTGTGGCACCAATAAGTCCTTCCAGTTAGGTATACTCTTTTTTAAAAAAGTTTATTCCTTAAAATGCTAGTTCATATGAAAGATTTGGTTCACAATTCTTGCACAAAACTCTTCAAAGTGTTTAAGGTTATGGAAAAGCATCTCTACCTTTGGAGTTTGATGATAATCTCTCTTCAGACAAGTTGGATGGAATCGGTGATTTGGAATTCTCAAAAGTTTTAGTCCTCATTTGCTCATATAGATCCATAAGATCGAGGGCTTGTAATTTATCCTTATTTAGATATGCTTGTGTTGCAATGAAAGTGATAATCAAACCAAAAACGATCTATTAACCTAATATTACTACGTACTTGATTATTGTTTACTTGATTACGACTTATAAACTATTGTCTATTGTGTTTCAAGTATTTCAAAGATAAAAATGATAATTTATAATAGTTATTGTATTGTATTTGTTGTATTTATTGTCCTTGTTCTTGTAGCCGCAATCGATACTTGTAGCCCATTCCATCCATCTAGATTCTTCTTTACTCGGCCATATTTTTTAGTTTCAATGTCCTATAACTTTTTTCCTTAGGCTATAATGCTCTATGCTCGCCTTATGTTGTAATTTTTCACGTTTTCTAGTATCTCACTTATTTATTACAACATTATCACGTCCCTCTTATTTCGATTCCGGTTATTGAATTAGTTATTTCTTGTTTGCCTCTCATTGTAAATAAAACTTGATTCTTTACATCTCTTAGCCATGATGCAATTTTGTTTAGAATTATACTAAATCTCTTTATCTTTTAATTATAAAATTTTTTTTGCCTCTTCTCTATGTGGATTTGTTTTGTGGATCTAACTTTGGGTACACTAATGGCCTTTAGGGGCCTACAATATAAGCTTTTTAATCAAAGCCTCATTTGTCCTCAATCAAATATAGGTCTAACATAATCTTATTCAATTTTTTTTTTAATATGCCGTACAAGAAAATGACACCATTGGTCAATAGAGCTATGGCTTGCCCATTAACATTGAAAAGTAGCAAGAGAAGCCACACACACACACACACACACATATATAATTTAATTATAGCTTTTTTTTAACTATTCTACTTTTTCATGTGTTGGTAAAAAATTATAATGTGGCATTTAAAAAATACCAAGCATTGCAACTTTGGTGTCTAACCTTTAAATTCTTTTTTTTTTTTTAGTGCCCTACCGAGTAAATTATTTTTTATTTGAGTGTCTATAGTCATTTGTGAATATAAAATGCTAAAGTGTCTAATGAATTGTCATGTGGCAATAACTTTGATTTTTTTATTTTTTATTTGAGTATTCATAAGTACATGAGAGCATGAAATACTAACATGTTCGAGATAAATTGTCATATGGCATTTTTAATTGCCACATGATATTTTATCTCGGACATATTAGCATTTTATATTCTCAAATGACTATGGGCACTCAAGTAAAAAAAAAATCAAAAGTTGGATATTGAAATAGAAAAATTTAGTGGCTGGGAACTGAAAACAGAAAAAACAAAATATCAGCACCAAAATTTCAATTTTCTCGTACATAAAAGAACAACTGAAACCAAGTTTTACGGATAAGAATTAAAGCCGAACACCAAAGAATAATTCTATCAGCAAGGGAGTAGCTTTCGCACTGTATATCTTTGCCCATATAACTCCAAGTAATTAAAATTTTCTGTTATTTCTCGACTTAGCATATCAATAACATTTCCTAGGAAAAGCCTGGATATTGTGAATGGATGGGATAATATGAACTAGAAATCTTTGAAATGGCAGTAGACTTTGTAGTCATACAAAGGTTAATATCAACTTGACAAGCTTAACGGCCAGGACAACGATGCAATGGAGGATGCATTTAAATCAGCAGGTGAAGGTACTAATATCCAGAGAGCGATACACATTCTTCTGATTCTTCATGAAGATAAAGCAATGCCAATGCCAATGCCAATTGCCAAGTCAAGACCCAAGAGCTATATAGAACCTCACCTTAAGTACGAGATGTGTGCCATTTCTGAAAAGATGATTATCTAGACTTCCATTTGATATACACCAAACCCATAGACAAGTATAAGTAAAAAGTCACCATCATTGTCCTCCAACTCCAACCTATCAATGCTGCAATATTCCTACATTCCATCGGAGTCGTGATTCAAGTCGATGGTCGAGTGCTCCTTTAGCATGTTTATATCCATTTTTTATTCTCTTAATGGCTATGGCTTGATTGGATTGGTTAGATATCCTTGGTAAACACATCCTGCTCCACTACCTCCTCGTCCCAAATTCTTTTACTTTAAACGTTTCTGGTAGCTGAATCCAGCTCCCGATCAGCCAACTTCCTAGGGAAAACTTTTGCTGAAAATTCCAAGCTTAGTCCACGCCTGTTGTTCACTGTTTTCTTTTTTCTCTAATGCATTACTTGAAATAACGAGCACTGGACATCACAGTAATTACAAGGACATCCAATATATTACCCGCTATCCTGTTAGCCATTTCGTGATTCTCGTTATGAATTCTCCAGGATGGTTCCGCTGAACATTTTGCTGAACAAAGCCAACGAACGTAATAGAAGGGGTGTCAATGCAACACCCTATAGTTCAGTGGTTGAAATCAGACAAAAGAATATTTCAGAGTGAAACAAATGGCCTATAATTCGGAAGTGGTTGTACGGATTAGCCTGCAAATAGCCAAAAAGGGAATGGCGAATGATAACTGTTGTTATTGCAAGCGGAGAATATAATCATATTGACTGCTGCAAGAAGCTTACTAATTGCTGGATACCACAGGGATGGAGAAGTTCCTGGATACTTGTTGTTGAAGAATTGTTTGATAGAACAAAAGCAGCATATTACATACTTGTCTTTGTGTTGTTGCTCATGTCAAGAAAAAGTACAAATCACGAAAACAACTTGAATTTCAACCATGTGAGTTTCCTTCGCGTATCTTTTGAGCAGGTAATAATATTGCTATAAAAAAAATCAGCTTATACGGTACAAAACTTTAGGGATGCACAGAAAACTATCTGTGTCGTCCACTTTCTTATTACAGAAAAATCAGGCTCTTATTTCTTACAATGAACTGTGAAAAAAATATCTTCCTGCAGTGACGTAGGCCGCTGTTTTACAACAATTTTGCTTCTGGAACAGAACATGTGAAAATTACTCATGCCAAAGCTCAATTATACCAATCTCAATCTCGATGCAAGCTGCTCCACGAATTCTCCTTTTCCATCTGTGTTATTTGAAGCATTTTCTCAGTTGTTTGACTATAGGCGTCTGCAGTCGCAAAAATCTACTGTAGCTGTTCTGCATTTCCATGCATTGAGAGACCAACCCGGGGCAGCCATTTTCTATTTCTTGCATATTTCCTTCGAGCCAGCCTTTTTTGTGCCAGTTGTATTCTATTTCCTGCATATTTCATTTGAGCCAGTTGAAACATTTTTCTCCGCTGTTTGACTGTAGGCATCCACCGTTGCCAAACTTTACCATAGCTGTTTTGCATTTCAACGCATCCAGAATTCATCTCAGGGACACTATTTTCCATTTCCTGTATATTACGCCGAAGTAAAACAGACTTCGCCCAAGGGCGAAGGTGAGCATCCAGATCATATCCCACAGATTTCATTCTGCGTAGAAGATAAATGGCACGATCCTTTCCCTTTTTACCCTTTTTAGAGACAAGTTGTTTCAGTATTCGATTGGCAACCCGTTGTCTCAACAGGTAACATTTCTCAATGGTGTAAAGGAAAACATCAATTGCACGGTCTAGATTCCCTTCTCTCAATAGAGAATATATTAATTTCACGCAACAAGGGGGGTTGATAACAGCTTTGCACTCTTGAAGGATTAAGAATATCTTCAAAGCTTCATCTACTCTTCTTGCGTGACACAGCCCAGTTAGCCAAATAGCATATGGACCTAAATCAAAATCATACAACTTAAAGTCCATCTCAAGCAAGCCTCGAACAGCCTTTTCCACTTCTTCCTTCTCAAAATATCCTTCTATAGCTTTAATTGCTTCATCTTCCTGACTACGAGTTTTCCTGAGATACTCCAACCAGAGACTAAATGCTAGTGGCAACTTCATTCTCCTGCACATCCAAGTCATCCTTGTTTTATAAATCTCTGCATCAGGCGTACACCCATTCTTCTCCATTTGATCAAAGACCTTACATGCCTCCTCTTCTCGTTGAAACTGTAGAAGCCCATTTATAAGAGTTCCATATGTAACAGTATCGGGGGAGATGCCCTTGACTTGCATGTCCGTGATGAGCTTATAAGCACCATTAAAGTTGCCTAACTTGCAAAAACCATTAACCAGAATGTTATATGTATAAATGTCTGGTGCATCCCCACTGTCAGCAAGTTGCATGAGAATCTTGTAGGCCTTATGAACCAAGCCTGAGTCACACAATTGCTCCATCATTGTTTGTAGGCTTGCTCTATCGAGAACGCGATTGGGCCCCTGAGAAAGATGAAGAAACAGCGACGGATTTCTCCCTATCTCCATCTTATAGTACAGAAGCTGAGCATCCTCGAGCTGGCCAGTTTTACAAAGTCCATCAATAAGGGAATTGTATGTAACCGCAGAAGGATGACATCCAAGCTTCTCCATCTCATTGAATTTTTCTTGGGCATCTGTGGTCAGGCCATTCCTACACATACCACAGATGAGAATGGAGTAAGTTTGGACATTAGGGAAGCAATCATGCCTAGACATCTCACGTAGAAGCGATTGAGCCTCACTCAAAAGACCCATATCACAGAAACCTTTGATCAAAACATTATAACAAACAGTATCAGGAACCACACCACTCGCTGTCATCTCATTCAACAACTTCAACGCATCCCTAACCTTCCCTGCTTCCGCTAACCCCTTCATCATTGTCGTATAAAAAAATAAATCAGGCTTGATATTATCCTCAATCATTTTCCTATACAACAGTTGCACGCCTTCATATCTCTTAGCTCTAAACAACCCACGAATCAAAGAACCATACCCACGTACACCAAGCACATATCCGTCCTTCTCAAGCAGCCTCAACAGAGAAAAGGCCTCATCGACTCTATCTGACATACAAAACCCATCAAGCAAAGCATTGGAAGTAACAAAATCAGGACCGAGGCCGCTATCTTTCATCTTATCAAACAATCTATAAGCAACATCGACCTTCTTGGATCTACACAACCCAGAAACAACAATACAATATGTAAACGCATCCGGCAAAATACCTCTTTGTGTCATTTCATCAAACAAGTGAAGTGCATCCTTTAGATTACCACCCTTACACAACCCATCTATCAAGATACTAAATGTAGCTACATTCGGCGAACAATTCACCTTCATCATTCTATTATAAACAGCTAAAGCTAAGAAAATAAAATTCTTTTGAATCAAAACATGCAAAATCATGTTATAAGTGTAAACATCAGCCTCACAATCAAAATCTCTCAGTGACCCAAAAGTTTCCACAGCTTTGTAAGTCAAACCCATCTTCAAATACACCTTAATCAACACGTAAAATGCATCATTAGGCACCTTTATACCATCATTTTTAAGTGCTTCAAGTGTTTGACAGTACAGCTCAAGCCCATTTTGGTTAATGAGCAAGTCAGTGATTAAATCGTGAGATTTCCATGCACAAAAACGCTTGAAATTTGATGCCCATATAAAGAAACGAAAACCCAATTGAGGGTTTGGTGGATTTTGTATCATAGAGGTAACAATTTTTGGTGAGAGAAATGGGACCATGAGTTCTAAAGCTGGTTCCATTGGGTTAGTAGTTTTAATAACGGTTAATACTTCATTGGAAACAGAAGTTTCTTGTTTGGTTGAGGTGTGGAGGGATTGAACCCATGATGGCTTTCGGTAAGATGATTGACGTTGAAGGAGAGGGTGGAGTTTCATGAATAGTCTAGAGTTGAGTTTCATGGGATTGGACCCACGCTGGGTTTTGGAGTTAGGGTTTTAGTTAGATCATTGATAGGTTTTGGGAATTGTAATGTATGAAAGGGACATACCAGATTGAATTTGAGGTTTTTCTGTTGGATTTGAACAGGGCATAATTTTTGTTTTCTGTTTGGCTGGTGAGAACATGGTGGCAAAGGGCGTGTTTGGTGCTATTACAAAGGAAAAGCATGAGTTCTGTCTCTCCTTTCTTTATGTACATTATAAAGTTCCTGTATTTTCTGTGTTAGTATAACTCAAAGCGAGTTATTTCAAAAATTTATAATCTAGTACTTTAATCACGGTTAACTAACTACTGTTGTTAGACATAATTATCCAAGAGTCATTTAATCCTACGTCTCCAAGCCTTTTTTTTTTTTTAATGATAGTGCTAAATTCATCAATAAAATTTTTATTCTCACTATTTTTGCTAAACAATTACTAATACATCATTTATCAATTACAAATGATTATTACTAATAAATATTGGTGGAGGATGTATTTATAATTTTAAAAAAAAAATTGTGAGAATAACAATTATATTGGTAAATTTATTGCTATATTTTTTTAATATTAAACTTACCGTTTAAAGTTTAGGGTTCACTAAAAAAAAAAAAAAAAAAAAAAAAAAAAAAGAGGGAAAAAAAGAAAACGTTTATGATGCAAATTCTTCTTCTTCTTCTTCTTCTTTTGAAATGATGTCTTAACAATTGAATGGTAAGGTTTTTATCAAGACATCTCAATTTTGAATTTAAAGAGAGATGGGATGAGTATTTTATAATTAAAAAAGCAGTTATTTTTCCTTCTACAACTGAAAATTCAGAGCTTTGTGTTATATATATATATATATAATTAAAAAAAAAACCAATTTCTATACCACTTTTGAGTGTTTTATTTTGAGCTGTTCAAAGTAAGAAATGCAATATAGAAGTTAATAAGACAGTACGAAATTTTTGGAATAAAAAGAGATTAAGTAGCCATTGCAAAATTTTAATAAAAGAAACTAAGACCGGGAGATTGACATTTTCCTTAATTTGGAAAGTGGAAGAAATTACGGTAAATGTTTCCTTTTTTATTTCGTCACACCAAAACCATTCCCTCAAAGTGGAGAAAAGACAAAAGTAAATTAATTAAGGTTGTATATTTAGTCTTGTTTTGATAACAAGATTTAGGTTTAATACTTGTCATTTATCTTTATATAATATATCAGTTTTTCAATTTGCCATAGATTTTAAAATGTTTCTAATGTATTCATTGTATTTTTATTGGTTTCTAATTTGTTTTTTTGATTAAAATTTATGGACAATTTATTAGAAATTAATCTTCATATTAATAAATATAAATCACTAGTGTCAAATAACAAAATTAATTTTGTCAAATCACGTGTTTAATTTAGTAGGTAATTTTAACTAAAAGAATAGATGAAAAATCGGCTCAAATAATGAAAATAGATTAGAAGTGTTTTAAAATCTAGAGATAGATTAAAAAATTAATTTATTATACAAAATAGATGATTATATTAATTATCTAATCTAATAAAAAAGGAAAGTTCACTGTCATAATTTTTGTAGTAATTAGCATTTTTCTCTCCTTCCTATTTTTCTCTTTCCAAGCCAATTACGCAATCATTTTCTCAATTTTGTACTCTTTTAATTCTCTTCCCACCTCTCATTAAAAAAGATAATAATAATCCATTCCCATCTAAAGTAGATTTTACCCTAATGTTCTTGGATAAGGGGCTGGGTCCATTGAAGTTTTTCTGCTTTCGGTTGTTTTGCACACAAGGCCCTTGATGGAACTGGGCGTTTTAGGCCGTAAAGTGCTCATGTTTTCGACAAGTTTCTAGCCTACCTAGTTACCTCATGGCCTGAAAGAAAAAGCCCCAAAAGAAAAGGTCCAAATAACCATATGAAACTATAAAAAAAATTCAACAGAATCTGAAAAACGAAAAAAAAAAAGGGGTAAGCATCTTGATGAATGGTGGTAGGTATAATTATATTGAGATTAGCCAACGGATTGATTACATTAATCTCAATTAGCAAATGTAAATCATTCAAGCACGGGATAGTCTTAATAATTCTTGCTGACTAAGAGGCAACAGCCCCAACGCACTTTGTTTTGGTTATCTTTGTTTTGACTTTTAAACGCGCATACCTAAGAAATTACTTGTTCAAGAAAGACAGTAACAAGTAAACGGAAGGCGATGGCAAGTGGCAAGTGGCAACTCGCAGTTCTTTGTTCCTATATGAAGGAGTGTCTAATCTGGTACTGCGTAGCTCTAAAAGGAATAATTCCATGGCATCATCCTCTAACCGTTGGCCATCAGAAGCGTTATAAGTATGTACGGCAACAAGGCAGGTGTAAAACAGATAATTGTTTTATCCGATGGAATAAATATCTATTACGAATATTTAATAGATATTAATATGGATAAAGATAAAAAATATATATTCATTAATATGTTTTTAACATATGAGTATCTTTTTTTATTTTATTAATATTCATTAATTTATTTTGAATTTTTTATTAACATAAGGGATTTAATTACATAAAATTTTAAATTTATATTAAAATATTTTTTGAAAACTTTAAAGACAAAAAAACTTATAAATAAATTATCAAAATGCAAAAAAAAAAATTAAGGATAAAAAAACTTTTTATGAAAATTATAAAGACTAAAATGAATGTTTTTGACAAATTAATTTTATAGGGTATTAAATAAATTCAAAATAAGCACCTAAACTAATGCAAGTAGGGTACAAACTAGCTAAAGATTTATATGGTAATTTTTTTAATGGATAAAGAATAAGATATTCTTTTTATGAATATGATAAAAAAAAATTGAATTAATAGATTAAGTATCAATCCATTGTCATTATAGCTACATGAAACGTATTTTTTTTCTTTTCATAATCAATAACTAATCGCTATCTCATGCGATAACAACAATGTACCAAGAATAAGGTTCGGTGCATAAAAATATTTAAAAAGTCACTGAATTATTAAAGATAATAATCTTGTAAATTTCATCTTTTCTTCTTCTTTTTCTTTTCTTTTTTTTAATTTCCAATAATAGAGTTAGTTAAAGTTCATAAAAACAAACAAACTACTTATGATGCATTTGAAAAGTGGCCACCGCCGGTCTAAAAAAGGCTAATACCCCTCCAAAATATTTACAAAATAATGGAAATCAATGAATCCTGGAATTCTGAGCCCACTACTTGCAAATATAATAAAATGAAAAATGAAAAACTCATATTTGCAATTCTATACGAGCATCTAACGGTTGATGATAGACAGATTAAAGAAAATAAACTACAGTAATAGTACATAAGACCTGTGGTACTAGTTGCCACGTTGGAAAATTTGACAATCAATCTGTCAATTGTAATGTTAATGGATGTTTAAAGTTGAGATTTTAATTTATAGAATTATGATTTTAAAGAGGTTACAGAAACCTCCTTAATCCTATTTGTAGCTCAAACACTATTTTTAATAAACTCAACCACATTACCATGTATGCAAATTACCATGTATGCAAAAGTGAAAATATATTCCATATCAGAGCTATAATTTCATAGGCCTATGCAAGAAACAATATTATTGAGTGAATAGGGATGGGATTACAACATAGCTCGAGGGGTCACGGCATCCTTAAAGTCTGCTCAAAGCTTTCTTTTTAATCCTAAAAGATTTAGATTTGTCTTTCAATGTTGGGCTATCTCATAAAAATATGCATTTTCCCTTTAAAAGTTATTTATCACTCCACAATGATTACTTGCTTATTTAAATTATGCACAAATGTAATTGATATTGATATCGCAGACTTCTTTTTTTATTCGATCATCAATGAATTTGTGAACGGATCAAAATTAAGTTTTCTCGTAAACAGTCTTAAAGATGTATTCCCATATCGATGTATTTAAAAATATTGTTTAAAATACTTATCCCACAATTCGAAATCGAAAAACAAAAAAAGAACAAATCCTTTTTTTATTACTTGATAGCTACTTTTGATTATTTACCTAAAATTCTAGCCCGACTTCTTTTTCTGTACGTGAAAAGAGAAAGTAAATTATAAATTCGTTTTTTTTATATATAAATGAATTAATTCATCATTTTCGTTTTAAAATCTAATCATTTAGTCTTATGTATTTTAATTTCATTAATAACTTAGTCATTATATCAATTTTTCATTAAATTAGTGATGAGATGTCTAACTATAGTATTTTTTAAGAATAAAAAATATTACAGTAGAACACTTAAAAAATACTATACTAGGATACTTTATCACTAGTGTAATAAAAAACTAATGAAATAATTAAATTATTGATGAAATTAAAATATAAGAGATTAAATTATTAATTCTTAAAACAAAATGAACTGATTAATTTATTCTCAAAATGAGAATGACTAATTTATAACTTACTTTGAAAATGGAAGTAATCAAGAAAGAAAAGTAGTTCGGAAAAAAAAAAAAAAAAAAAAAAGCCAATGGCAACTAGCAAGTTAGGCCGAAAGGGGCTTAAGAAATTTCCTGGTTGTATATAAGTTACTTTTGTTTTTGTAAAGAGAGGAAGGTTATGCAGACTGTTTTGTTTTTAACAAGCATTGTTGAATTTACTTTTGGAACAAAGTGTAGCATATTGTTTTGCATATTTGGATAGGACAAGACACTTCGAATCTTTAATGAGAAAAGGGATGGCACTATTTAATACGCCCTGTGTTCCAAATAAATTATTCTTTTTTATTTTTCACATAGATTAAGAAGACTTTTAATTGTTATGCCATACCATCATTTTTTCATACTTTTCAAAAATATAATTTTTTAAAAAAAATTGTATTTGGACAATATTTCATAAAATAAATTTTAATTAGAGGTATTTTAATAAAATACATTACTTAAAAGTTTAACTAGAAAAGTATTTTAGGATATATATAAAGAATAAATTATCTCTTTGAAACAGAGAGAATAAAAGTATTATCTAGTCCGCTTTAGCAAAAGAAAGAGACTTCTCGTACATGCGTATTAGAGAACATTAGTGACTAATTATGTGGAATTAGGCAATGCACTATATTGATTCCAAATTGTTTTCCTAGGTTATGGATTTAGCAGTTCACTTGCCCAAACTATTGGATCCTAGCAATTTAAAGCTTGTATCATCAATTTAGACTATTCAAACCCTAAATTATTATTTTTTATTATTTTTTTATTATTCTTTTGTTATTTCTAATAGTCGAAACGATTGATTGTTAGCTGAAATATGATTTAATGAAAAGATTATCCTCAAACTATCGAAGTTGTTGCAAAACAAGACATATACTATCAATTTGGGCTATTTAGATTATAAACTATTAGTTTTTGAATAAATTTCATCCTTCTTTATTATTTCGACAAAGTGTAGACCATTTTGTTTTTTTATTAAAATTAATTTTAATTTTTAAATAATAGTTAGCTTCAAGGAAGCGTTAATGATTTTGTCGTTGGATAATTAATGATGTGTAATAAATTTATTTAATAAAAAAATGAATTATTAAGTTTTTTAAAGGATTAAAATTAATTTTGAAAAAATATTTACTCATAATTAGCTTTAATATAGTTTAGATGATTTTTTTAAGGATTTTATTTTAGTTGTTAGATAATTGATTATGTGCGATGAATCCACCTAGTTAAAAAAAAAAAAATCGAAACACTTGAAACAACATCATTTTAAATATTTCGAGTTAACAATCAATAGTTTAAGCTGTAAAAAATAACGAAGAAGAATTAAATTTACCTAAAAATTAATAAATTATGTTTCAAATAGGTCAAGTTGATCGTATACATCTTATTTTGCCATAACTTCAATAGTTTAACGGTAAATTTTGCTATGAAATCATATTCTAGTTAATGATCAACATTTTGATCATTAGAAATAACCTAAAAAGAGGGTAATATTTTCTTAAAAAATAACAATAATAATTTAGAGTCCGAGATAGCCAATTTGATAACATAAACCTTAATTTGCTACAAGCCAATAATTTGAGAGTAATTTTTGTCATTAAACAAATATCGTGATGTCAAAAAAGTTATAAAAAATAAATGCTTCACTTTCTTCTTCATCCAAATTAGAAAAATAGATGAAAGTTCGTCCTTTTAAAAATCACATTCTTCTGCATATTTTTTTCTCATTACAATTTCCATGGCGGAACCAAAAATGTTTTGTTAGTGTCGTTAAATTTGTTATCAATTATCATCTTCCAGGCTTTTACAACTCAGTCAACTCGTATATAAAAAATATTTGTTAGTGGTGAAGTTGCTTGAAAATTAATATAAAATCAAATTTGTCAAAAACAAAAGCTATTAGCATCGACTGACCTATAAAAGGCATAAACCTTATTGTATGGACAGTAGTTCTCAGTTAAGAAAATTAATAATCACACCCCAATTAACTTCTGACATCACTGCAATTGTCATGAAAACTAGCAATCAAATCAAAACAAATCACATTTCTTTTTTCTTTTTATTGCATCAATTTAAATTTTAATTTCTACCTTCAAAAACCATAGAGATAAAATAAAATCACCATCTGAATTTGAAAATAGTAATAAAAAACTGAATTAAAAATAAATCTCAAGATCCCATCTAAAAAACCATCGAAGTAAAAGCCACTTACTATAAAAATTGAACACAAGCTTGAAAATTGAGAGAAACCTAGTTGTTTTGTAACCTTGAAAATCACAAAAACTAAAACCCAGATAAAAATGTACATCATCATGTCCTGGTCCTATATTATTCAGTAAAGAATTTTATTGTTTCATGATAATTGGAAAAGAGAATCATAATAAATAGTAGCAGTAGATGCTGCTCTGCTGTTCCCTTGCTCAAATATGGATGGTAAGCTGTAGTTGATTGGATAGCGGGTGGGGCGAGGAGGGCGGCTGGGAGGACAGGAGCAGGGCAGCGTGGAAGTCTGGCGGCGACTTGGAGGTAAAGGACACGAGGAGGGCGGCGTGCTGTCTTTTTTTTTTTTAAAAAAAAGACGAAACGAATAATGAAGAAAGTTTAGGCCTTCAGGATTTCTTCTTTAATATACGTATATTAAAAAAAAAAAGCGGTTCTTTGGTTAAATTGAACAAAAAAAATTCAAAAACTGAATTTAAAAATCAAAATAAAATCTATTTATTTTTTTATTTGATTTAAAATTCGAATAGAAATTGATATTTTGATGTATTTTGATTTAATTTTTTAGTTAAAACTAAATACTGTCCATCCCTAATTGATAAAAATTGAACAAATAAAAAAAAACTTGATTGGTTATTTTGAAAAAATTTAATGTACAAAAAATTAAAAATTATATATTTAATTTAAAAAAATATTAAAAATTGATGTATTTATAATATAATTATTCTCAGGTAATAGGATATTTAATATACTTGTTTTATTGTTATCCAAATCGATTACTATTACCTATTATCTTGCACCTATTCAACGCAATGTACCAAATAGTAAGTATTTTTTGATTAAAAAAATGGTAGTTGATGTCGCTAACGATTTTTCTTTGCCTAATCGTGGTCAACTACAGCATAAAACAACAACATCATACCAATATGTCCAATCAAAGCTGGGCCAAGTTGATTATTCAGCAATTTATCCCTCCCAAAAGTTTCATCGCCATATCGAACTCAATTGGCCTCCCAAATGCTACCTCAATCAGTGCATGATGTTGACAAGCATAGTTTGTTCCTTTGATTTTATTTTATTTTTCCGACCCACCAACCATCGAGCAAGATGTAGTGTTTCTTACATAAGATGACGATCATGCATACTTACTATTCCTTGAGGTGGACAAATTTATTGTATTTTATTTTATATACTTTATCGTGTCGTTGTTTGATTGGTGGAAGGAGCTGGACGAGAACATTATTATTGTTTTTTTCATATTTTTTTTAGGAGAATGGTGTCAAGAATTCTTTAGCATTTCCATGCTTATATTATTGGAAGAACCTCATTATGCCTTCGTAATAACGAAACGTGGAAGTAATGTTAATAATTGTATTTCACATGTACTTTTTAACAGTGACACATGTTTTGACACTCATATTCTCGTAAAGCAAACCCAATTGCTTTAATCTGTTTTTTAATCTTTTTTATTCTTTCAACAGAATACGGCCTGCCACAGTATTTTGAATGTTTTATTTCTCACAAATCCTTGATTGTTTTTAATTATTTTTTTTCTACCGTCAAACCGAAGGCAAGTAGTATTTAAGTGCGTGTATGTAAAAAAAACATGTTAATCCTTTTTTTTTTTCATCTAATAAGATAGAAAAACATTTAAAATTTTGAACTTTGAAGACTGTCATGAACAAATATTTGCTTTCTAAAAACTCATTATAGAAAATTTGAAAATCATGTTTCCGTTTCATATATTCAAATTAATAATGTAAAATTAGAATAATTTGTTGATTGATTGTTGTCTAGACTTTTTAAAACACAGTTTTCTCTTGAAAAGAAAAAAAGAGCTAACCAACTAAGATTATGACAAAGGGTAAATTCAAAATAATAATAATAAAGTAATGGATTCATTAATTTCTAGTTAAATTTTACATTGCTTTTATCATTGAAATGCTTTTTTTTTTTTTTTTTTTTAACTGTAGTTAGGCAACCAGGTTGACACGCAACAGCAGAATCTTAATCTCAACTTGGAGAGGAAAAGTAACTGACTTGAATCGTTGAACGTTTGCAAGTGTTGAATACTTTTTAGCTAATATACTCCTTCATTGAGATTTGAGATCAAAATTGTTTGGCTTTTTTTTTTTTTTTTTTTTTTTTTTTTTTAATAGGAATGTAGAATGCAATCTGCTTATTTTACATTGCAAAAAAAAAAAAAAAAATTTCTATTTCTTTTGAACTAAGATTAATTGCTACTTGTATAATAATAATAAAAAAAAAAAATCTGCTACTAGCCAACTTGAACCTCAAGGACCCCTCAAGTAGGCTGGCAAATAAAGCTTTATCCAAAAAAAAAGCCACAACCATGATCCATGGCCTGATGGCCTCATGTCCTGTAACTTCTACCAACATTTTATCGTTATTATACTCCGTGCAATAATTAATAACCAATCTAATCAAAGCATCAAAGTCTCATCTCTTATAAGTTGAGTCCTCAAGCAGCAAAAGCGTAAAATTTTATGTAGAAAATTTTACACCCAAATCACTGGAGCATGAAAGGGATTTGAGAAACAAATTATTGGATACCTCCGAAACAATATCCTCATTTATCTAAAAACTAGCCCAGTTGATAATTACCCAACACTCCTTGAACAAAGGAGTCTTGGTGTAAAAATACTAGATAAATTGGACAAATACCACAAAAAAGGTGTAAGATCTTATAATAAGAGTACAAGATTTGGAATTATTAGGCACAAAAAAAAAAAAAAAAAAACTAAAGAAAACAAAAATGCTAATGCCAATAATGACGGAAAAAAAACTTATGAGATTTTAAAAATCCTAAAGAATGCTTTATTACTTTCATAAGATCATCTCCAATGATGTTCTTTATTTTTAGTTAACATTTTTAATGTAAAATAGAGAGCATTATTAACTATATAGATTAAAAATTAATATCATCTCCGATGCTACTCTCTACTTTAACTTTTTATTTTGATAAAATTCAAAGAGACTATTGGTGAAAAGATCGAGTGACATAACAAATAGTAATTTTTATTAATGAAATATAAGATAAAGAGTGATTTGCACTTCTAAGTATTGGAGAAGCTAAAGATACTTTGTATCTCAATTTGAAAGATATAGATTATGATAAAGAAAGCATTGAAGATGAAATTTTGACCAAACCTCTTTATTATAAAAAAATCTTAATATAAAAAAAGCATTGAAGGTGCTCTAAAAATAAATTGCATGATTGATTATGATGGTGGGTTCTATTTGTTTCTGGAGTGATAAAACACTAATCCCGAATTACCTAATAATTCATCCATAAAGGGCAATAGCCGAGACCAGGATAGTCGAACTCTAGTTGGGAAAAAAATATCCAAACATCAAAATTTTGGAGAAATTATTCAAAACAACCGCAGTCGTACTCCCCTCTCGGTCCCCCTCGAAGGTGGGCCCACAAAGACTTAATAAGATTAATTTCCAGAATCTCCTATATCATGTCACGATACACAAACCTTCCTTATCCCTTGCTTTCAACGAAAAAACTGATGGTGACTATCGTTTAATCACTAATAAACAAATAAACTCGCTCAAGCTTTAAATAAATAAAATAACGCAATTTTCCTGCCCTTTATATAAACGAAAATTTAAACCGTCATTCGTGTGAGTGCAATTTTCCAAAGGTACTCCTCCTGAAAAGCGAAAAGCCCAACCAACAAAACCAACTACACCTTCCATTCACTTTCCTCTCCCTCTCGTCTCCTTCTCTCTCGATAAATCTAACAGTCCTTTCTTTCTTTCTCTCTAAAAAAACCTTCCAGTCGTTAGGGTTTTGTAGAGAGAGCAAGAGAGGAAATTGGAAGAAGAAAACTCAAGTATGGGGAATTCAACGAGGCAGTTGAAAGCTATGCTTCGTAAGAATTGGCTTCTCAAAATTCGCCATCCTTTTACTACTGCTGCTGAGGTACTTTTTAGTTTTTTTAAAAAAATTAGCTTCGGTTTGATAACTTTTTGAATTTGATTTTATTGGAATTTCACTACAGTCTCGTTTCCTTTTTTCTCACATCTGATTAAATTCTATGATTCTTGTGATTTTCTTTGTTCAATACACATGATTTTAATTATTGATCATCACTTTTGTGCTGTTTCTTGATTTTCGTTACTTATTTTTATTTTTCTAGCGAAGAAGATGGAACTTGATAAAGATGAGCGTGTGCCAATTGTTCTGTTTTCCGTTTCTTTTTTTTTTCTTTCTTAAATGTGTTTCTGATTTTGTAGGTTTTGCTTCCTACAATTGTAATGTTACTGCTAATAGTGGTTCGGACGAGAGTTGATTTGCAAATTCACCCTGCGCAGGCGTAAGTTATCTTTAGCTTTCACTCTGTTTTAAATTTCAATTTTAATTTGCTGATTATAATTCTGATCAAACAGAAGCAGGTTTTTAAAGTTGTTTTATGCATTGTTAATTTAAGCCAAATGCGTCAGTCCTAAGTATAGTAAAACTTAATCGCTTCATGATCATTTTGCGAAATAAGCTCTTTATGATGTTGTGAGAAGTAAATGGTGTTGTGGGTTTATTGAACTGTTTCAGGTATATAAGGGAAAACATGCTTGTAGAAGTAGGAAAGGGTATGTCCCCGAATTTTCAAGAAGTTTTGGAACTATTGCGGGTGAAGGGAGAGTTTTTGGCTTTTGCACCAGATACAGAACAAACAAAGATGATGATTAACTTCATGGCAATCAAGTTTCCTCTGCTGCGGGTACCTATTTGAACATCTTTTTCTGATTTTCTAAGTTAAAAAACATTTATGTACCCTTTATGCATACAAGAAGGATGTGCTCTCAGAATGTGCATGTGTGCATTCTAATTTTATACTTGTCTGTGTGATATACAATTAAGATCTCATGTAGTGTGGTCTACGAAGAAGGCCTAGATAGCCTCTTTTATTATTATCGATATCCTTGCTGCTGCTGCTATTGTTTTTATCACTAGTGCCTTTGTGACTGAGAGATTCATGGATTTATTTTGTAATTTCAGCAAGTTTCTCAGATCTACAAAGATGAACTCGAGTTGGAAGCATATTTAACATCAGATACTTATGCCACCTGCAGTCAAGTCAAGTAAGCTGTACTCTTGGCATTCTGATAAAAGTTCATTCTTAATGGATTCAGTTTATTTTAATAAGAACCAACATTGTAGGTTTTAGGTTGTGACATTGACAAACTTGATGGTCTTTTTCCCCCTCTTCTTTAGGAATTGCTCAAATCCAAAAATCAAAGGAGCAGTAGTATTTCATAATCAAGGTCCTCAGCTATTTGATTACAGCATACGTCTTAACCACACATGGGCTTTCTCCGGGTTTCCTGATGTTAGAACCATAATGGATGTGAATGGCCCTTATCTCGATGACTTGGAATTGGGTGTTAATATAGTACCAACATTGCAATACAGCTCCAGCGCCTTTTTCACTGTATGGTTACTTATTTCTTTTTACATTATTTTTTCTCCCTCTGGGTCCAGAAAGATTTATTTGCTTATTAGATGTGCTGGTAATTGCTTTTTTTGGTTTGAATGTCTCCTAGCTGTGTTATAAGCTACAACTTTTTAAAATTTTTTAGCTTGTCTATGAACCAAGCGTGGCTGTTTTAGATTGAAATACGTATTAATTTCGCTTTCAAATTTCAGTAATAGTTCCTCCTGTTCATGGTTATCTTGCCCTACTTTTTTTGGAACTTAAAGAAAAAGAATGGTCAAAATTGTCTGGAAAGAATAATTGAAATTTCATACCTTATAGAAATTAGCCATACATGTTTGGAGTTCTTTGATAATGTTTGGATTATACATCTGGCACTGCTGTTAATGTTTTATTAGAATGGCTATCAGAGTGCATCTGGTGTAATAATTAGACGCTGGAGCAGGCGGATAGCTTGTGGTTTGAAGGAAAAACCTGAAGCAATGTATTAAAATTAATAATTTAGCAGCAGCTATTTTAGATGTTACCGTCTTCCAAAAAAGTGCAAGGGTGAAGTCATGTTCATGATTTTGGGACTTGCCAGATGATGTCAAGATGGGCCTTTCATTTTCTTTATTGGTTGGTGATTGGTGGTTATCACTTTAAATAAGTTTAATATGAAAAACGAGTGAAGGTGTTTAGCATGCCCTCTTTGGGACTTGCAAAGAGAGAGAAGTTTTAAGATGTTGAACTGTGATATAACTTGATGTGATGTAAATGGAGAAAGTAGTTATGGGCTGTCAAAAGGATTTAGGATTTGCTTTTCTCCTTTGATGATTTCGTAGATGAGTAGATGGTACTATGTTTTCTAGTATGTTCCTGCTGGTGCTCCATTCATACCATTTTGTGTGGGTTTAATTTTTCTTTTTATGATTTACTAACAGTGAGGTATTATGAATCTGTAGTTTTACATATTGTGCACATCGGTGCTTGTGGATGATATATTGTATGTTAAAGTCTTGATTTTGAATTTTGGCTCATAATTGTGGAAAAAATCTTTATGTTCAGAACTAAAAATGTGGCTGACTTCATTGGCTAATATTATCCACAAGAACCTAACACAGGAACTCTTTTTTTAATTTGTACAGATTCTCTAATTTATCCTTTTATGTTTCATATTTGACTTTTCAAACTGTTCATGGAATGCCGTACACTTTTCAAAAGAGCACATTACTAAGGTTGAGCTTCCATGATTTCTGCAGCTTCAGCAGGTAGTGGATTCTTTCATAATATTTGCCTCCCAGGAAACTGAAACTGAGTCCTCAAATGAATATATAGAACTTCCACCATCCAATTCATTCAACACCTCTTCCTCGCTCAAGTTGCCATGGACAAAATTTAGTCCTTCAAAAATTAGAATTGCTCCCTTTCCAACACGTGAATATACTGATGATCAATTCCAGCTCATTATCAAGAATGTCATGGGAGTACTGTATGTGTTTTTCCCCCTTTATAATGTTTCTAAGTTTTCCGATTATCCTTGTTAATTAGGATTTTTTTTTCCTGCACCTATATGAGCAGGTATCTTTTGGGATTTCTCTACCCAATCTCTTGCCTTATCAGCTATTCTGTATTTGAGAAGGTTTGGTAATGACTATGATAGTTAGCATAAAGCTTGCTCTCTATCTGTATGATTTTCTTGTTTTTGTTGCATCTTTCCTTATTTTGACAATTTTAAATACAGAAATGCATAGTCAGTGTTCGTTTTTGCTCTTAGTACATACTTGATTGTTAATGTTTCAGGAACAAAAGATAAGAGAAGGTCTCTATATGATGGGCTTGAAAGATGGGATATTCCATCTTTCGTGGTTTATTGCATATGCCTTGCAGGTGAATAATTTCCCCATGTCTTTGGATTGAATCACCACTATTGCATGCCCTTACTTGCCTTTTTTAAAAAGATTTGGATTATGACTTGATGGTATTGGTGTCATTCTAGTTAATATAAGCAAAAAAAGATGCTGTATGTATGGGAATTGTCTGTATGTATGCATGCATGCTCACATGTTTTGTTTCTCATTTTTGGTGGTTTGATTACTTTGGCAGTTTGCAATTTCATCTGGGATTATTACAGCTTGCACCATGAATAACCTTTTCAAGTATAGCGACAAGTCAGTGGTGTTTGTGTATTTTTTTTCATTTGGACTCAGTGCAATTATGCTGTCCTTTTTGATATCTACATTCTTCACACGAGCAAAAACTGCAGTGGCAGTTGGTACCCTTTCTTTTTTTGGGGCCTTCTTTCCTTATTACACTGTCAATGACCCGGCTGTCCCTCTGTAAGTACTCATTCCATGTACAATTTATGCTGGGAGACTTTAATGAAGATTTTCTTCCTGGTTGCATTTGTTGCAAGTTCTCATTTTTAATAATGCAGGCAATATTTGTCTAATGTTTTGTACTTATAGGATATTGAAGGTCCTTGCCTCTTTGCTATCACCTACGGCCTTTGCTTTAGGATCAGTTAACTTTGCCGATTATGAGCGTGCTCATGTGGGACTTCGCTGGAGCAACATATGGCGGGTATATTATATATTTGGAGTTCTTCTGTTGCCTTTGATTATTTTGGAAGTCTTTTTATTTGCTTCTAAACGTTTTAGACAATGTTGGTGTAGGAGTCATCTGGGGTGAATTTTTTGGTCTGTCTTCTGATGATGTTACTTGACACATTGATATACTTTGCCATTGGCCTCTATCTTGATAAGGTACATCGTCTTAAACTCTTCTGCCTTCATCACATGTTGAAAGAAGAGTTATACTCCGCTCTTATGGGTATAATTTCTCTCTACTGTATGTTGCACTGACTGATGAGAGTTTTAGGACATTTATTCTGTCACTGGTAGGGGTTAACGTTCACTTTTCAGTGGGGTATCTTGCTTGGTTATGTGGAATGATCTGTTGCTGGTTTATGTTGATCCTGCTAACATTGGTTTCTCTAAGATTGTAAAGTTTGTTGTGCCATTTTGTTGACATTTTAAGAACTGTTTTTGAGTGGGCTTCTTGTCTTTTTTCCAAGATTTGTATAATGTGGGGATTGGGATATATATGCACGATACTGTTGGCATCAGGAAGGTTCTGTGAATAACCTTGGTTATATACTGTTGGCATCTGGAGGGTTCTGTGAATTACCTTGGTTAAGTTAAAATATCAAGGTTTCAAGCACCGATGTTATAATGATTCACATTTTGTATACATACACATGGATTTTGTTCACAGCTTTCTATATATCGAATAAAATAATAACCATTTAAAAGTTATGTCCCTTGGCATGTAATTTTGATGGTTTCTTTAACTTATTAATAATTGACATCAATTGGCTTTATTGAACAGTTATGCATTGCCATAATTGAATTTCTTTTACGTGTGTGTTTTGTGGAAAAAAATCATAGCAACTGAAAATTTATGCTCCCTGTCATGTAATTTTAATGCATTAATATATACATTAAGTGGTTTATGTGTTGCCGTATTTGATTATGGTTATCTCACCGATCAGAAATAGGAAATGATTAGATTGTATCATCTATGTTTCGTCAAAGAGCACCCTGAATTCTTATTCGTTCGCAGCTATATTTAGAGCCATAATTGAATTTCTTTTATTTGTGTCTGTTTTGTGGGAAAAAAATCATAGCAACTGAAAATTTATGCTCCCTGTCATGTAATTTTAATGCACTAATATATACATTAAGTGGTTTATTTATTGCCATATTTGATTATGGTTATCTCACTGATCAGAAATTGGAAACGATTAGATCGTATCATCTATGTTTCATCAAAGAGCACCCTGAAATCTTATTTGTTTGCAGCTATATTTAGTATGCTTTTGTATGCTATTGCATGTTTTTTGAACCCCTACTGATATCAGCAATCTCATTAGGTCCTTCCCAGGGAAAATGGAATGCGTTACCCATGGAACTTTTTATTCCAGAAGTGCTTCTGGAGAACGAAATTTTTTATCAAACATCATGGTTCCAATTTAGAATTCAACATTAACGACCAGCTTTCCAATGAAGGGGCAAGTCTTTTAGGAAACAACACCCTTGAACCTGCTGTTGAAGCGATAAGCTTAGATATGAAGCAACAAGAACTTGAGAAAAGGTACACACTAAAATATGAAGCTATCTCCGTTTGCACTAGATAATGAATATTCTCTTTACATTTTCTTTGTCTAATTTCTAGGTGCATCCAGATTAGGAATCTGCATAAGGTGTATGCTTCTAAAAGGGGAAACTGTTGTGCTGTCAATTCTTTGCAGCTCACCTTATATGAAAATCAGATTCTTGCTCTTCTAGGTTGGTTGTGTAATTTGCTTGCTTCTCCTTCATTTGTGCTTAATGCTTGGTCTTTTGTAGTTATTCTAACTCCTAGTTTGATACCTAAAAATTAAAATGAACATTTTCTCCCAGTTACAGTTGTTTTTCCGATAATATGTTTTCTGTTCGAGTATGTGATGCTCAAAACTTCTGATTTGAGCTCTGTGAATCATACACTTCTAAATTGGTTTTTACAAGTCAGATTGTTCTGTGTTTTTTTCTTTTTCTCCCTTCTTAATAAAATAAGTAGTCATTGCATAAAAGAAGCTTTATGTATCTGAGCTCGCAAGTTCAAAACCCGAAGAATTATTGGATCAGATTTAACTGCCCAGAAGTCAATTGTTAATTTGGAAGGGCAAATGGCAATGGATCACTGGCCTTGTGTCAGCCAAGTTAACCAACTCCTTTCTGTCCACCATTTATAGATAGCTCTCCTATTTATCGAAAAGGATATCTCTCTTTCCAACTTAATGGGATAAATCCTAATGAGTCCAGGCACCTTGTTCAAACAGACATTATTCTTCTGATTTTCTTCCAAGATACCTGCGCATGGATTTTCATTATATAATTATCTTAAATATCAACTACTAATAGACAGTTTTTATCCTCAATTATCTCAAAGGACATCCTCAAACTCTTACCTGACTAGATTGTCAAGAGACTCTGTCATTCTTGCAAGTCATAAAGCTTTGAGGCTCCTTCTAGGTAGATCCCTTCAATTCTAACATCCTTTCTGTGAACATTAACTAAGCTGAAGAAGTGTTGGAACAAATTTATTTGAGAAGTGAATGTCTTGCAAGTCCAAACATACATGCACGTGCTTGTGTTTTTCTCTATGCATGCAAGTGCATACCTCGGGTACCGTAGCTTATCATGGGAAAGAGAAACCTTATTATCATTTTGGAGGATAACTCTGTTCTGATATAAAATTATCATTTTCAAGGACACAACGGAGCTGGAAAAAGCACAACAATATCAATGCTTGTTGGTCTTCTTCCTCCTACTTCTGGGGATGCTTTAGTATTTGGAAAGAATATCACAACAGACATGGTAAATCATGTCTTCTTTTTCTCAATTAGCTTTTCCTTTTTTCCTTTGCAGCTCCTCCTCTTTTTGAATGGGTTGCCAAATAACCTAATTCGTCATCTGCTCTGTTTCTAATATTATTATCAATTTGGTAATCTTTCATAGGATGAGATACGGAATGGACTGGGTGTGTGCCCTCAAAATGATATCCTTTTTCCGGAATTGACTGTAAGTAAGAAGCATGCTTTGTTTTTTCATTCTGTGTCATACGATATACCTTTAGTTTATGTTCTTGAATGCTGACAAGAAGTGTTTATCTCGTGTCCATGCTAACTGGATGTTACATGCAACAGAAGTTTTGGACTTATTAGTTGCATGGACACATTGAGAAAATGGACTATCCTGACCATATTTTGTCTTTAAATTTGTCAGTGATTCTATGTTACTTGCCCTTCAAGTGTAGTACAAGAATTTTTGTGTGCTTTAGAACATATGTAGAGTGTAGAAATGACCCCCCTGAGTATACACAGGCTCTTTGAATCACCCTCAATTATTTAACATGCAATAGAAAAGAAAGAAATGAAAAAGAATGTGTATTCATGCCCGTGGAATGCACTTAAAAATAACACTGTGAGTGTACTAAATTCATGGTGCAATTTAAAAGCTTATTTAGGACGGAAAGATGCCAGAATTCTCATCAGATTTTTGCATAGCCTCAAAGGGAAAACGCATGCTTTAGTTTGGCTTGGTCCTTGCCTTGCCCCCCGTTCAACTGATAGGGCCACAAATTGGAGAAATAATGTGGGTTGCTTAGTTTTGTGGAAGTTTCAGTTGAGATCCCTTTGAATACTTTATGGAAAGAACAACTCAGTCATGGATAGTGAGGGAGGGAAAAATTACTTGAGTTCTTATTGAGGAATTTTTATTCTCACTGAATGATGCTACCTCTGAAAGTTATGGTGCTTAATCTTGTACTTGAATCAACTATTTGAGCTATGACAACATCCAGATGACCATGTTAGTGGTTTTTCAAACAGTCTCTAATGCTGATGTCTATTCAAAAACTCATTCTCTTACAAGTTGATAAATAAATAACTGATTTTGTTTGGTTGCTAGCTTTAGAATTCCAATTTTATTCCAGGGCCTCTTTTGACTGATATATTAGATGCATTTTTTCCTTTCCTTTCCATTTTTTTTTTTAGCTTGAGATGGTAGATACTGAATTTTGGAGATTTACTAAAATTCAATTTGAATTGGTTAATTACTTTATCCAGGTGAGAGAGCATTTAGAAATTTTTGCTGCATTGAAAGGCGTGAAGGAAGATATTTTGGAGAGTGTCGTAACTGATATGGTCAATGAAGTGAGTTTCTCTTCATTTAATTTGAATCTGTCTTTCTTGTTTCACTCAATGTTTTGAAATATGTCAAATCAATAATGTTTATTTTATAAGTTAGCCTGCATTTTTTTCTTAACGTATAATGTTTCTGAAACTTTGTAATCGAAGCATTCTGTTGTCTTAAACCTAAATGCAGATAACATTCAGTCAACCTTGAACTGACACACTCCTTTGTTTGACTTCATTTATGCATTTGATATTGTACAATTTCTTAGCTCTTGAGTTCCAGTTTCGATATTTAGTAGGAGCTTGGTGATAAACTTCTGTGTTAAATTAAAAATTGTTTTGTGGTGGTTAGGTGGGTCTGGCTGATAAGGTCAATACCCTTGTGAGCGCTCTTTCTGGTGGCATGAAGAGGAAATTGTCTCTGGGAATTGCACTGATAGGAAATAGCAAGGTGATATAAATTTCATAGCTGTTCCTGCTTATTGTCTTTGAAAAGGAACCAATTCTCATCAGTCTGCCACAGGTTGTAATTCTTGACGAACCTACAAGTGGAATGGATCCATACTCAATGCGCTTGACATGGCAGTTAATAAAAAGAATAAAGAAGGGCAGGATCATTTTACTAACAACACACTCGATGGATGAAGCTGATGAACTAGGAGATCGGATAGCAATCATGGCTAATGGTTCCCTGAAATGCTGTGGAAGGTAAATTCTCTTAGACTGATACCTGATTTTCTTTTTGGTTCAATGGGGGATCATTATTTTCACAAATTATTTTGTAAGTGGGCACAGATGTGTATCTTCCAAATACCAGTTTCACAGGTAGGAAAGATGTTGCATTTTCTGATGCTTCATTTATGTACCTCCCCTGTAAAATGGAACTAAAAACGTCTCCTAGAAATAAAAGATTGGTTTATATTGGAGTTCTAGCATAGTGAAGGTACAATGCCCTTCTTCTCATTGAGTGCATATCACATATGACGTTATTGATGCAATGTCATGAACATTCCTTAAGCAGCTTTCTGTTTTCAAATTTATGTTTATATACTTTGGCAATTTCTCATTGGACATGACATATTTTGACTAGCAGTTCCCTTGCAGCTTGGCTTCATTTTAGAAATAAATAGAGTTTTTTCATGCAAATTCTTCGAGGGTTCCCTTTTTCTGTGCTGTCAGATATCTTTTTGCACTACTTCAGTATCACCTATTCTCTCTTCTTGTAATGGAAAAAGTTTAAAGTAAAATTTTATCGAGATCCTGCGATTTGTGAGCAAGCTTCATTAATAAAAAATATGATAAATACTTGATCAACTAATATATGGATTAGGAGCATTCTGGTGAATTCATGGAAACCAAAGAAATGGAATGAAGGGAGTGGGCATAACTTTTGCGATGGAGTGGAGGAATATTTTTTTCGAGTCTTCTACTTTTGGGATGGAGTAAGAGACAAAAGACAATAGCCATACAGTTATGGAGAATGGTTGATTTAAGTGGTGAATAAAAAATGATGAGAAAAGAATATAGAAAATAATATTTTTACTCATCTTTCATTCTATGAATTACTAGCACATTTATACAACATTCCTAAAATAGAAAATAGAAATAATAAAGGCTAAAGATTAGGAACTAAAATCCAGCCTATTTTAACGTAATTACATCCTACAAATTAAGAAATCACATGGCGGCCAACACTCCTACTCGAGGTGGTGCGTAGATATCACAGGTGCCCATCTTGCAAACTAGAGAATGGAAAAATTTACGCCTAAGTCCTTTAGTGAAAACATCAGCTAGTTGATTATTTGAAAGCACATGAGAAACGTCTAAAATCCCATTGGATATTTTCTCCTTAGTAAAATGTCGATCAATATCTACATGCTTTGTTTGGTTATGCTGAATCAGATTATGTGCAATACTAATGGTAGCCTGATTATCACAATATAAAAACAGAGGATTCCTTTCTAAGACCTGCAATTCTTTTGTCAACTTTTGAAGCCATAATAGTTCTCAAACACCTATTGCTATTATTCTATATTCTGCCTCTGCACTTGATCTTGCTACTACAGTCTGTTTTTTCCTTCTCCAAGTAACCAAATTTCCACCTTCAAATGTGCAATAACTAGATGTGGACCTCTTATCATCAAGAGATCCAACCTAGTCTGCATCTGTGAAGCCTTTCACTTTCAGATGACTATGTTTAGAGAAGAGCAGCACCTTACCCGGTGCAGATTTTCAATGCCTTAGAACACGAAAAACAGCATCTAGATGAGAATCCCGAGGATCATGCATATCCTAACTTAGCACACTGACATCATAGGCTATATCTGGTCTAGTGTGGGAGAGATAAATCAATCTTCTTGCGAATCTCTTATATCAATCCATATCAACAGGTTTACCAATACCAGCTTGTAATTTATGGTTGGCCTCAATAGGAGAATCTGTAGGCTTACACCTTAACATACCAGTTTTCTCAAGAAGATCTAATTTTTTTTTTTTTGAGAAATAAAGATGCCTCTATATGATCTGGCAACCTCTATTCCAAGAAAATATCACAGCTTACCTAAATTCTTGATCTCAAACTTTTGGGTTAGAAGTTTTTTCAATCTAGCAATTTCCTCGACTTCATCCCCAGTTACAACTATATCGTCAACATAAACAATAAGTAATGTGATCTTACTACTGTCGTGTTTGACGAACAAGGAATGATCAACATTTTTTTGATTATATCCAAATGAAATCATGGTTTTACTGAACCCATCAAACCAAGCTCTAGGTGTCCCCTGACAACTTGTTTGAGGCAATATCCCATTGGAGTTAGAGATAAGCCCGAAAGACACTACCCGTGTATTCTGTGTATTCTGTACTATTATTGGTTCTCAAAATCTTAACCTTGGCATTAAATTGTGTACAAATCATCCTGTGAAATAACTGAAAAGAAAAAAACCTCAATTCTTTGCATTTATTAAATAAACTCATGTCATCCTAGTAACAATCAATGAAAGTAACAAACCATATATAACCTAGCAACGACACTGTTTGTGCAACTAGAGCAAAATTTTCTTGATAGTCTACCCTGCAGGTTTTAGTGAACCGCTTCACCACCAATTGGGCTTTGTGCCTTTCAATTGATCCATCTGTCTTATGTTTCACCTTAAACACCCATTTGCATCTAACTAGTTTCTTTTCAAATGGAAGGGTAACAAGTTTTCATGTTTCGTTTTTTACCAAGGTCTTCATCTCATCAACCATTGTTTCTTTCCATTTTGAATCTTTATATGCTTCTTGCCAACCCTGTGGAATATAGATAGAAGACAGAAGAATCGAAGACTATAGGAAGGAGACAATGAATCATGGGAAATAAAAATAGAAATAGCATGTTTAGTACAAGTTCTGACACCTTTTCTAACAACAATTGGTATATCAAGATCAACAGAGGAATTATTAGGAACATCAAGAGTTGAAGGAGACTTACAACATGAATCCTCAGCAACTGAATCCAGAGGTGGTGTTTAACTAGGTAGAATATGCTCAATAGCTTTATCTGCTTTATCCCTGCGTGAGTAGGTTCTCAAATCTGCCCTATCTAATCTCTCATTATTAGGTTGTTTTCCATGACCATCACCACTACTAAACTGCATGGGCGTAAAAGTTATCATCTTTTGTTCCCTAATATCCCTTGAAGAGGTGATTGGGGGAAAGGAAAGTAGGCTCTTCTTTCCTATTCTCCCTTGCAGGGGTGATTGGGGCGAAGAAAAGTAAGGATCAAATTCTTGGAAGGTAACATCCATACTCACAAAGTATTTTGTTGTAGGTGGATGATAACACTTGTAACCCTTTTGAGTGGCAGAATACCCAAAAAACACACATTTAAGGGCCCTAGGATCTAATTTTCTACATTCCCCTTGTGGACAAAGCAAACACATCCAGAGACTTATAAGGAACAATATAAGAATTAGTACTTTGCAAAATTTCTAATAGACTTTGAAAATTCAACATTCGTAACGACATTCTATTAATACGACATTCTATTAATAAGATGTGCAGCTGAAAGTACTGCATCCCCCTAATAGACTTTTGAAACATTTATAGTAAACATGAGTGACCTAGCCACTTCTAGTAAATGCTTGTTTTCTTTTCAAAGACTCCAGTTTGTGCACTAAGGTTCGCACAACTTGGTTGATGCAATATCCCATAGGAATCGAGATGGGCCCGAAAGACTACCATCTATGTAATCTGTACCGTAGTCAATTATCAAAATCTTAACTTTAGCATTAAATTGTGTACAAATCATCTTATGAAATAACTGAAAATAAGAAAAGATCTTATTCTTTGCTTTCATCAAATAAACCCATGTCATCCTAGTACAACAATCAATGAAGGTAACAAACCATCTATAACCTAGCAATGACAGTTTGTGTGGGACGCCATACATCAAAATGAATAGTCATGAAAGAAACAAAACTTTTATCATTACCAAAAGCATACAAGTTTCTTGTGTGTGTAGCATACTCACAAGCATCACAAACTAACAAATCAGAATTGCATTGTTTAAACAAACTAGGATATTAACAAGAAAAACTAAAACAACTGAGCAGTTCGCTATTTACCAACTATTCATTTAGACTCAATATTACTGTAGACACATACATTTTTACTGTGCTTTTGTCTTTTTCTATATCTTGCCCATTTATGCCTTCTTGCTGAGTGGTTTGCCTTTGGCCGTTAGATTGCCTCGTAATCTCTCTAAAACACAAAAGGATAAATGTCTTAATCTTCTATGCTACTGGATTAATTGTTGGTTATCAGACATTGAATCTCCTAACAGGGCTTGGGTTTCAAATAGAACCAAAGGGCTACTACTTTCCTCTAGCAAATATAATCCATCTTGCATTCTACTATAGCCAATTGTTTTTCCTATTTTCATTTTCTGAAAGACAATAAGAAGGAAAAAACTCAGTTTTACAATTAAGTTCCTTTGTGAGTGTACTAACAGATAAGAGATTATTTGGAAATTTAGGGATATGAAGAACTGAAGGCAGATTTATAGAGGAAGTGCAATTAATGGCCTAGATATAGGAGATAAAGAACTGTCTGCAGTACAAACTTTATCTTTTTCTGAACTAAGAGAGTCAGAAAATTATTGAAAGAGTCTGTCATATGATTTGAGGAACCTATGACCCAAGGATTACTTTTCATAGAGAAATTGACATTAAAAGAGATACCTGAGTTGGCAAAGTTGGAGTAAGCAACTGCGGTTGAGTGAGAATCAAGCCTAGACAAAAGCTGCCTTAAGGTTTGCACCTCTTCATTGGAAAGACATCCGGTAGTAGTTTCTCTAGGAACTGGTGATTCAACAATCTCAGTTAGATTTGCATGTGAACTTGAGGATCTTATTTGCTTGCCTCCACGACCCCTAGTCGGTCAACAGTGATGCTTCGAACAACTTTCGGTAGTGTGTCTGGGTTTTCCACAATAATTCACGAATGGTGTGGGCCACCAAGCCTGCTTCGTCTACTGAAATTGTGTTTATCATGGCCTACTTTGGCTTTCCTCCTGTTGTGCATAAGAATATGTTTGTCTTAAAGAAGGTAAAGGTTCCTTATCCGGTACTTGCACCTTTATTTGATCATATTTCAAATTCAAACCAGCAAAAAAAATCATATATGCATGCTCTTCTCGATCAATTCCTGAAATTTGACATACAACTTGGAAGGCTTGATAATAAACCACTCAATTCAGAAAAATATCGAGCATTAGTCATCTCACCTTATTTCGTAATTCATAGATCTGTTCATTGTATTAAATAATAAATAACCTTGAGAAATATGGGGCTGCGTGGAATTTATGAGCCATGACATGACAAGGGAGTTTTCGGATTCTCATTGATTGTAGGTTTAGTATGTAATTGCTGGCTTTGGCTTATCTCTCACAATATAGCCCTTCAAACCTCGAGCTTGGATTAACAATAAACACGACCTGGTCCAGGCAAGGTAATTTGTACCATCTAGCTTAACATGATTGATATGCAAAGAGGGATTGTCATCTAAAAATCTAGTCTTGTTTGCGGTAACAAAATTATTTCCATCCGCCATACTTCAGGAAAAAGGCAGAAAAAAGGCGCCTGTTTAGGTTGAGAAACGCTTCTGTTAGCTAAAGATGGCAGTAGCTTAAAATCCTAGAAAGAAATATTCTGACTACTGCCGAGCGATGTGACTATTTTGCTCTATAGACGACATTCAGCTCTGATACCAATAGAATTAGATAATTGAGATTGGAACAAGTACCATTTCAATCTAAAAGCTTAAGTTGTTTGGTAAGGTCCTCTGGATATAATTTATATTATTTTCTAAAATACCTCCTCAAGTGAAAGCCTTTTGGGCTTGAAACTTGCACAGCCCTACCAAAATGTGCTATTATAAATTAGAAGAGAAATTAGGGGTACTGAGATTTGAACTCGTGACTGTTTGGTCATCAAGGCTTTGATACTATGATGAGAAAAGAATAGAGAAAAGAATATTTTTACTCGCCTTACATTCTATGAATTACTAACACAGTTATACAGCATTCCTAAAATAAGAAATAGAAATAATAAAAGCTAAAAATTGAGTACTAAATATTCAGTCTATTTGAACTTAATTGCATCCTGCAAATTAGGAAATCACATAGTTGTCAACAAAAAGACAAAAAGAAGTTGAGATAGTTTTGGTGGTAAAATTTGGGGAGCTCTATCCCTTTTAGTGGTAAGAGATAGTAGAAGGGCAAGGCCATTTTTACTGGTATGGATGTGATTATTTCTTAAATATATTGGCAAATCTGTTATTCTGGAGACCATAAATTTTTGAATTTTTTGTGTTCTTAGTCTATGCAACTCATATAAAGAATGTTCCCTGACATGTGAAAAGCTGTCTTAAGATGATGGTGAAATTATTACAGAACAGAGCATAATTTCCAGTCATTGTGACTAACTATAATTCTTGCTCATGTTGAGATTCCACAGCGGCTAGAAACTAACTGCATCTAACTTTCTATATTGGAAATTCTGACTTTTACTGGGATTCCATAAATTCTCACTTTCCAGCTTGATAACTAAGGTTTATCATAGCCATAGATTTCACCATCTAGGGGAATGGATGTGAGCCATGTGGCTACCTGATCCTGGTGTCAGATGTGGCTTTTTGGGAAGTAATGAACCCCCTAGGTCTTGGAAATTCTCTGATCTCCCTTGTGAAATATTCAATCAATCTGAGGAACTGAATCACACTTTTACCTATAGAAATGGCACTTACTAAGACCGGTGCTTTTGTTGAAAGCAGGATCAGAGTACTACCATTGCAACCTCTGAGAAATCATTTTTATGCAAACTTTCCTCTGATTCTCATGCTTGTGCTTCTTTAAAGATCATGCCTTGATAAATCTTGGTATCTTCACATTTGAAGAATCATTTGCCATTTGTTTCTTTGCAAAAATGGCTTGATGTAATTGTTAATTTTATTATGCTATGTCTGGAGCATTGTACACAATACCAATGTTTGTTCCTTTTCAGTCGTAATTTTTTTTAATGCTATGAACCTTCCGTTTGTTGGATATGAGATTCTTTGAATGTGTTAAAAATTTGTCAATGAGAGATGGTTTGTCTTTTGTAGAATAATTGGTGGTTCACAATGTTTACATTTCAATCTTTGTTTTTACAGCTCCCTGTTTTTGAAGCATCAGTATGGGGTTGGCTATACTCTTACATTAGTGAAGGTCAGCTTCTCAATTCTGATATTTTCAGTGAACCTTTTGAACTCTATGTAATTAATGGCCTTCATCACCATTCTATTTGATGCCGCTATTTTCACTCTTTTCTTTCAGTCGTCACCTACTGCTTCTGTGGCTTCTGATATTGTTTACCGCCATATTCCATCTGCAACATGTGTGAGCGAGGTATCAACTTTGACATGCATTGTACATTTCTTAAGCTGTCCTATCTCAGCACCTATTATAAATAAGAATAGAGTTTTAAGTTTTCAAAAAATCCTGATTACTTCTGAGTAGTTTATCTTAATGTGTTTGGAATTTGAATTTATTATTCCATAGCTCTTTTATATTCTGAAGTTACTTGTTTACCAAAAAGATTCCTCATGCATTCATGATGCTATTATATATATAATCAATATTATCACTGTTGATCTACCTCTCTTAATTTTCATCTGTGGCTTACTTTTTCTCCCCAGGTTGGCACTGAGATTTCCTTTAAGCTGCCTTTGGCATCATCATTTTCCTTTGAAAGCATGTTTAGGGAAATTGAAAGTTGTATGAGAAGATCAATTTCTAAATCAGAAACGAGTAGCAGTGAGGACAAAAATTATCTTGGCATTGAAAGTTATGGTATTTCAGTCACAACTCTGGAAGAGGTATTCCTGAGAGTTGCAGGATGTGTGTACAATGAATCTGATGATTTCATGGACAGAAACAATATTCTTTCGTCTAATTCTGCAGTTCCTGCAGCTTATGACGATCACCCTTCCAAAACAATTTTTGATGCAAAAAATTTGGGGAATCATAAGAAGATTCTTGGATTCATATCTTCCATGGTGGGGAGAGTCTGTGGTTTAATGGTCGCCACAGTCTTAAGTTTCATCAATTTCTTAGGTATGCAGTGCTGTAGCTGTTGTATCATTTCAAGATCAACATTTTGGCAACATACTAAGGCATTATTCATAAAGAGGGCTATATCTGCTCGGAGAGATCGGAAAACAATTGTTTTCCAACTTCTAATTCCTGCCATTTTCTTGCTTTTTGGTCTTCTTTTTCTCAAGCTTAAGCCACATCCTGATCAGCAGTCTATTACTCTAACAACTTCACATTTTAATCCTCTCTTAAGTGGTGGTGGTGGTGGTGGTCCAATTCCTTTTGATCTATCCTGGCCTATTGCAAAAGAGGTTTGTTGGTTTTATTTTTCGTCTTCTTTCTTTGTTGTAATGTATGCTGTTGTCACAGCCTTGAAGTCATATGCTGGCCATTGAACTTTCTTTTGATAACATTTGAAATCTTCGAAGCTGCTAAATGCAGGTTGCTGGATATATTAAAGGGGGCTGGATTCAAAACTTTAGAGAGAGTGCATACAGATTCCCTGATGCAGAAAGGGAATTGGCTGATGCAATCATGGCAGCAGGACCAACTTTGGGACCAGTTTTACTTTCTATGAGTGAATTTTTAATGTCTAGCTTTAACGAATCCTATCAGTCAAGGTGTGTTGACCTGAAATCTAAATTTCTTTTCATTCTCTTGGAAATTTACAGTTTTCTGAACTGCATTTAACATTTTATCATGTACATCATTTGCAATCAATCTTATTGTCATATCTTTCAGTTTTTGCAGCACTGAGTTTGTAGCTACATTTATTCTTTTCTTAATAAAGTAAATGGTTTAAGCATCTTAATCCTGGTATATGGAGTCTATATTTATTTTGGTGCTAGCATAATTATTTAAATGTTTTTTTCACTGTGTTTTGGCTGGTGTTTTATGTTGTCACCCAAGTATGCAACCACTCTGTTAGAAGAGGCTTTTCTTATCTTTCAAATTGGTTGTCCCCTGCTTGCCCAGAGTGTAGTTTCTTGAATGCGCTTGTCTAAACAATGTGTTTAGATTTTCAATGGATATTAAACTGATATTTATCCTAATTGGACTGTTAATTTGGGACAGCCAATTTATGGGCATAATAGTTTTTGCCAAGAAAAGCAGTTGGAACTTCTGATTGATTATATCTGCATGGCATGTTGATCAGGTGCTCTTTTCCATCTCATTATATATTATCATGTGCAGGTATGGGGCCATTGTGATGGATAATCAGCATGATGATGGAAGCTTGGGATATACCATACTACACAACAGTTCCTGTCAGCATGCTGCTCCAACCTTTATCAATTTAATGAATGCTGCAATTTTGAGGCTTGCTACTGGTGACCAAAATATGACAATTCAAACACGCAACCACCCTCTGCCGATGGCTAAAAGCCAGCACTTACAACGTCATGTACGTTTCCTTTCTCATGCTAGATGTTTTCAAGCCTTCTAATTTAACAGCGGCTGATGGCACAGATTGATTCATATGGATTAGACTTCTATTTATAGATTTCTGTCCCATGTATTGAAAATACTATGAAGAAAATTATGTTGAAGGGAAGCCATTGAGGGATGACAACAATTAAACCGTCTCAAAAATCTGTGTTTGAATATGTTTCTCATATTTAAAACATTTTTCATATGGAGACTGGAGGGTTTAATATGGGGTGAGGTGGGGTGGGTGTGCTGTAGGTATGGCATGAGGGAAGGCATTCTACATGCTTGATTGCGGACAAAATCTCTTACATTTATTATTGTGTATTTAGTTGCTATCCTGTGATAAACAACACCCATTTATGTTATGATTAGAGAACTATAGGCTTTATAACTCAATTTCAACTTGAGGGAAGAAGACGTGAAATTGAATAGGTTTTATTTCTAACTATAACCAAATAGTTCATCTTGATTTGTTGGATGTAATATTGTACAACTGTCTTCACATCATGACGTAGGAGTGCCTTTGCTGCATGTACTCATTCTCTCATTCTTTTAGAACGGTTCATTTAGACAATACTTGTATTTATTGCATTACCTTGTGAATATGTAGGATTTGGATGCCTTTTCTGCAGCAGTTATTGTTAATATTGCTTTCTCATTCATTCCTGCTTCATTTGCTGTTGCCATTGTGAAGGTATTATATCTGAACTCCATTGTCAAATATTTACTGTAAGCACTTTTCTTCATGGCTTTACTGCATCTCTCTACTTGGTGGCCATGTGGTAATTTTGTTAGCAAGAAGATAGATATATTTTAGTATTTTATGCTCCTTGGAACATCTGTTTGTAGTCAATGAAGTAGTTGTGGATTGATTTCATTCACTTGGAATCTTGTATAAGATTTCAACAGGGTCCAGATGTTGATCAATTAGTTTTAGAACTTGCTCATGTTAAAACGCTAAAGAATTAGAATAAGCCTACCATCTGATAATGTCAACAACAAAATTTCACTTATTAGCATGCTACTTCATTGGAACTTTTTAATGACCATTTTATTGTAATTTTTTTCCCATGTGCTTTTGGCCTTGTTTCATATCTGAGATTGGAGATTGCATTATAATGTGACTGGCTTCCAGAAGTATGTCAACTACTTCAATCATGGTGGTGACACTAAATTTTATTGTACTTGAAGTTGACACCCTAATGCTTGTTTTCATGTCAAAAGTTGCTTATTCTTGATATTTCAACAGCTTTGGATGTCTCTTTACCAGTCAGTACTTGGTCTGGTAGTGTTAGATGAATACAAGAAACAAATGTAAAATCCTTGCACCAAAGAGACCATTGCATTATTCATCTTTATGGGACTATGGTTCTCTAGTCCTGTCCTGCCCAGTAATATTTACCTCTATCTTACTTCATTTGTAAATTCCTCCATTGCTAGTCTTACATTTCTTGTTATAAACAGACGACTCAACTCTAAAAGAGTTATTTTGGTTTGAGGAATTTAGAATTTTTTATTTTTTGAAATATAGTTGCAACTCTTTAAACAACCTCTGGAAATGTTGTTGATCCAATCTTACATATATACAACGCTTATGTTTGCTTTTCATATTAACTAAAAATAGCTCAAGGATCTTTGGCTTCAAAATGTCATGTATATGTTGTTTGTCTTTTCACTACCGTTATCTATTTCTCTTGTGGCTTATATGGCCTTGTGCTTATATTTTGACTGCTCTCCATTGCAATGTTTGATCAACCGTCTCTCAAGTAATCGAAATCCCACCAGTCTTATACAGCTACTAAAAATCTCTGCGTCACTAGCCGAGTTTATTCTTGCTTGAAATTCATGCATTGATTAACATTTGAACTTCTTCATCTGGTCTTTCATGCAGCCCTCCAGAGTTCCCTCATGACGGTCAATTTTTATGCCTAGTACCTATTACCAATGAAATATACTTTCCTTGCATTTTTTTTTTTTTAATTCTATGGGAAGTATTTCATATTGTCTAGCTTGATGCAGGAACGTGAAGTAAAGGCAAAACACCAACAGTTGATTAGTGGGGTATGTTCATATTTTACTGATGTCAGATCCTGGAATTTTGTTTATTAGAAATCTATTAAGAAACTAACATTTTAATAATGTCCTTCCTCTCAGGTTTCTATACTTTCATATTGGGTTTCTACATACATCTGGGACTTCATTAGCTTCTTGTTTCCTTCATCTTTTGCTCTCGTACTCTTTTATATTTTTGGTATATTTCCAGGCTCTCATTCCTGTCTATATACTTCTAATGAATTTCTTATGGACATTGGTGTATCAAGTATTTAATAGCACACAAGTTACTAAGCTAAAGTGTGCAATTTCATTTTCTTTATTTTTCAAAAGTAATTTCAGGAGGTATTTTTATCTGGTCTGAAGATATCTTGCTGAAAATAGATTTGTTCCCCATTTTCTCAAAATTTCTCACTCCTATAAACACTATTGGTTAGCATATTGATTGATGCATTTGATGTTAGGCATCTTTATGTTTGTTCATGTGGACATGGCAATGGATGTATATATTTGATATTCTACTTTGCAAAGACTTCTTGAAGTTTAAGGGATTTTATGGGAGCATGCTTTTACAACATTTTGTTACCTTTTTCCTTGTTTCTACCCATGTTTTTCTAGGTTCCACCCATGCCAAGGAATCATTTCTTAAGCACTGTGGTCAAAATATCTAATTGTGAAAGTTTTCACTTACAGGCTTTACTTCCATTCAAATTCCAATTTCCACAAACTTGTAGGAATTAGGCAGTACTGAAAATTGAATGGTGTCATTTATAAACCTCGTCGATACTTTTCTGCATAACTATGTCAAACTAGGAGAAAAGTGTCCTTTGTTCTATTTGTTATTGAATTGGCTGTGGATGAAACACCATCCAACTGAGACTGTCTTAGATCTTGACTTTTCTTTTAGAGTCTCATTTATTATGGTCAATATTACTTACCGCCAATATTAATTTGGGTGTGTAGGTCTGGATCAGTTTATTGGAAAGGGTTGCTTCTTGCCAACATTCCTCATGTTTTTAGAGTATGGACTAGCAATTGCGTCATCAACATATTGCCTTACATTCTGCTTTTATGAACACACTATGGCTCAGGTGCTGATTTCTCTCTCTCTGATTCAGTTTTCCTGACTTCCATGGCATTAATCTCACTTCACATGAATGTTGATGTTTTTACTGTACGTGCAGAATGTGGTTCTCTTGGTCCACTTTTTCACTGGGTTGATTCTCATGGTTATCTCATTCATCATGGGCCTTATACAAACAACAGCAAGTGCAAATAATTTGCTCAAGGTTGATTCCTTTTTATAGAGTCAGATGCTTTTATATTGAACATACATGACATTTCTCAAACCAATCAAATGTCAAACGTCTAAGTAGAAATTTACGAAAGGAAGAAAGGGTTCTGTTCCGTTCAGAAACAATCCCGATTTGAGAATGAAGATAACTGTCAATGCAACTATTGATGTAATTATTCCAACTCTATCTAGTATCATACATATTAGATTAGATGTTGGATAGCGGAAAGGTACAGTGCGTAGAATTAATTCTAACTATAAAAAATGGAATAGAAAAATAGAAAACGTTTTATCAAATGAAGACCTTTCCTTTGGGGCTGGGGGACAGATAGTTTTTTTCTCTCTCTCTCTCGTTTTTTTTTTTTTTTTTTTTTTTTGTGAAAAACTTTTTTCTTAAGAATACGTAGACAACGTTCCTGGAACTATTAGGATCAAGTATATCCATACGTCATTTAAGCTATCACACTGTTCTACTGCTTTAAGCTTTTCAGGCTTTTTTTTTTTTTTTCATATTTTATTTTGGGTTGTTGAGGGAGATTGGCAGAAGGTTGGAGTGAATGAATAGGATCTGGAACTCTTCATCCTTCACATCATTGTGCAAAAACTTATCCATCTGCAATTGTTGGATCAGAAAAGAAAGATTTTTGAAAACTTTGCACCCTCTTCCATCCCACCACACCAAACAGGAAAAACATTGTGCATTGCATAACATTAGACAATTCTTCTTGCTATCTGCTGCACATCTGAAAGTCATTTCCCTGACATTTTTATATGCTTTTCCAGAACTTCTTCAGATTATCACCTGGATTTTGCTTTGCTGATGGACTCGCTTCACTGGCTCTACTAAGACAAGGGATGAAAGATAAATCTAGTAATGCAGTTTTTGACTGGAATGTAACCGGTGCTTCCCTTTGTTATCTCGGCCTTGAGGTAACTTCTTGATACCTCCTCCTGGTATAATGTATTTAACTTTAACGTTACATCTTGAAAAGTTTTTGGTGGTAGTGAGGTGTTCTCAGTAAGGAACTTTTGCTCTAATAATGAGAAGCTTAGCTTGTGACATTTAAGGGGAATGAAAGACAACAATTATTATCCACATCAATATTTTCTGTTGAAATGTGTCTGATTCAGTTTTCTAACTCGTGACAGAGCATTAGTTACTTTCTTCTCACACTTGGGTTGGAAGTGTTGCCTTTTCACAAGTTGACTCCAGTTGGAATCAAGCAGTGTTGGAGGAACATCATGAATCTACGGCATAACCCTCCTCCTAGTGACTTAGAACCTCTTCTAAAATCTCCATCAGAAACTGTTGGTCTCAACTTTGATGAAGACATAGATGTGCAAACAGAAAGAAATAGGGTACTTGCAGGTTCCATTGACAATGCTATCATCTACTTGCGCAACCTTAGGAAGGTATTTCCTATATTTATTTTCTATAACTTTTGTTACACGTATGCTGATACTGCAACAATCTACTACTGTATCATAGCATTATCTGTTACCCATTTTAGGTATATCCTGGAGAAAAACATCGTACAAAAGTTGCTGTGCATTCATTGACTTTCTCAGTTCAAGCAGGAGAATGTTTCGGCTTTTTAGGAACGAATGGAGCTGGGAAGACTACTACGTTGTCAATGTTAACTGGTATTCCACTACTCTTCGCATAATGTAATCTGATGTCTGCAATAGATATCTGTACCTAGTTGTATATATGTTTCTTTAATTTATTCAAGCAGTTCACTTCTTACAGAATGATTAAATTGGTGCTTCTTTAATTATTTTCTTTTCAAATTGTTGCAGGAGAGGAATCTCCAACTGATGGAACTGCTTTTATTTTTGGCAAAGACATGCGTTCAAATCCCAAGGCTGCCCGCCGGCTTGTATTCCCCAACTTCTTTGATTCTATTCCTTTTCCTGAATGAAGTTAATTTCTTGTTGGATGATATATGGTTGACACCCAGCTAACTTCTCATGCTGAATCAATTACTTGCAGATTGGGTATTGCCCCCAATTTGATGCGCTATTGGAATTCTTAACTGTCCAAGAGCATCTCGAGCTTTATGCAAGAATAAAAGGAGTTGCAGATTACAGAATAGACGATGTATGTATATTACTCCAAGTTTAAGAGTACTATAACTCACTTTTATACCTGAGCTGGCGGTTTGTTCTTAATTTGCATCTGCTATAACTAGAGTTTACAGAGTGAATATTTGCTTTGAGTTGATTTGCAAGGATTCAGATATAGTTTACTATTGTATTAAGGAAAATTCTGAAAAAAGTTATGAAAAAAATCTTGCACCAACTGACATGGCAACTCATCTCTGATGGGTATTGCCCCCAATTTGATGTTCTATTGGAAGTCTTAACTGTCCAAGAGCATCTCGAGCTTTATGCAAGAATAAAAGAGTTGCAGACTACAGAATAGACGATGTATGTATATTACTCCAAGTTTAAGAGTACTGTAACTCAATTTTATACCTGAGCTGGCGATTTGTTCATAATTTCCATCTGCTATAACTAGAGTTTACAGAGAATATTTGCTTTGAGTTGATTTGCAAGGATTCAGATATAGTTTACTATTGTATAAAAGGAAAATTCTGAAAAAAGTTATATGGAAAAAATCTTACCAACTGACATGGCAAGTCATTTCTGATGCCTATTAATCATGTGGGCAGGTTGTAATGGAAAACTTGTTGGAGTTTGACTTGCTGAAGCATGCCAACAAGCCATCTTTCACTCTTAGTGGGGGAAACAAACGTAAATTGTCAGTTGCAATTGCAATGATTGGAGATCCGCCGATTGTAATTCTTGATGAGCCATCGACAGGTAAGCACTATCTTTCAATTGAAAATTTTCTGGACCAGAGATGGCGCTGGTGTGTTTTCTCCATTAATGCATTCTTGAGGAATATTGAAGCAAAAGCCATTAATCATCACTTGCTTTAAATAGCTTAGAATGTTTTTCCTCCAATTAAGTAGAGAGTGAAACTTTGATTCTGCAGTATATAATTGTTTTCTTTTAAAAGCCCCGCCTCTATCCCATTTTTAGATTTCATACATATTTTCATTCTAACCAGTGCACATGCTAGTAGAATTCAATGTGCCTCATATGTTGTATGGTTATGGGATTCTGTATCTGGATCGTTTTTGTGGTTTATCCTTTGTTTAGTTTGTTTCAAGACTAGGGTTGTTGTAGCAATGGTGATATTGCGGAGCGTTCATCAATTTTAATCAAATGCAATGGTGCTTCTTACTTCTATTATCTGGAAGCATTTTCTTAGGCAACAATTTTGCAATGTATTGTAAGAGCTGTGACATGAAACAGAACATATTTCAGATATGAAGCTTTAAAGCCAATATTGTGGTCAGCTGACCCAAGTATGTGTTGCACTGTATATAACACTTCCCAGAAAATGTAGTTTACATATTTTGGCCCTGAAACCTTTTCCTAATTGCCTTTCCGTACGATATTCATGCCATTTTTTTAGTGTTCAAAGAGTTCTCATTTCTAGCAATTGAGATTTCTTATCTTCCGCTCATTTGAACTAGATCTAGAATTTATATTCTTCTTCATTGTTTGCAAAGTGTCCTCCACACCCATCCTGGGGAAATGATGTTGTGCTCAGTAGGCAAATTATCTTTGTTCTGTCAATGACTCAACATTGTTGTTCTTCTCTAGCTAAAATGAGTGCCAGTTACTAATAATTACTGATTTTAGGCATGGATCCTATTGCTAAACGATTCATGTGGGAAGTGATATCTCGGTTGTCAACCAGACAAGGGAAGACGGCAGTAATTCTTACTACTCATAGCATGAATGAAGCTCAAGCACTGTGCACCCGTATGGGAATAATGGTACTACTTGGTGCTTCTCAATCTTCAAAAACCTGGTAATGACCATTGACAGGACTTGTTTTTCTCTTCTGTGCTTCTTTTGAAGGTTGGAGGCCGACTAAGATGCATTGGAAGTCCCCAGCATTTGAAAACGCGATTTGGAAATCACCTTGAACTAGAGGTATGCCATGACTCGAAGTCTAATGATCTTTATTTTACTAGTTTTAATTTTAATGAATAAACAAAGATCCAGGAACTTATATTTGCTGTCGAGAGACTTGATCTAAATTTAAATTCTCCCTTGGCTGCCCTCAGGTTAAGCCTATCGAAGTCAGTTCTGTAGATTCGGAAAACCTTTGCCAAACCATTCAAAGCAGACTTTTTGACATTCCTTCACATCCAAGAACTTTACTTGATGACCTTGAAGTTTGCATTGGGAGAATTGACTCCATTAGATCTGAAAATGCATCAGTGACGGAGATCAGCTTGTCACGAGAAATGATAATTTTGATTGGACGCTGGCTTGGAAATGAAGAAAGAGTGAAGACACTTATATCTTCAACACGCATTTCTGATGGGGTTTTTGGTGAACAGTTGTCAGAGCAGTTGGTTCGAGATGGTAATAATCCGAGTGCATATCAATTGTCAGTCTTGTCTTGCTATTCTTCTGTAGTAAGGAGTTTCACTTACCACAATTTATTATAATCCATTTGTGCATTCACCCTATTACATTTCTTTCCATCTACACATAAAACATTCTTTTAGTACCATGGTTTTGAGTTGTCCCCATAAATTCTTGTTAATAAGACATAAGTAAACTTTAGCTATGATCTTGGTCATATAATTTCAAAAAACACTTTTGGGACATATTACAAAAGTGGGGGCTTATCATGATAGATACTTTTTTGAATTGATTTCTTGATTTCTGTTTGGCTAGTGGTTTGGTTCTTCATACTGATTGTAGCCACTCGTTTTTTCTCAATTCTAAGTATTTTGATTTGCTTTTGAGTTTCTGTAGGTGGGATACCACTGCCAGTATTTTCAGAATGGTGGTTAGCTAAAGAAAAGTTTTCAGCTATTGATTCATTTGTTCTGTCATCATTTCCTGGTGCATTATCTCAAGAGTGCAATGGTTTGAGTATTAAATATCAGGTAAACTTCACAATGATTTAGGCTACATGTCATGTTTCTTCTTTTTCAATGGAACTTTTCATATGCGATGTTTGGTATAGTATAGTTTCACTTTCTAATCAAAATCCACAGCTCACTCACTATCAATGTGCTTCTAGATGACCGAAATTCAATAAAACTGCAAATTTTGCACCGCCCTAGTGTTGTCTTGGTTTTGTTTCATTCTGTTCTACTATTTCTATTCCAGCTCATTTCTGCTTCGTTGGTATTAATTTCTGAAGAAAATAATATTTGGGAAAATAATTTCTGTATATTAATTACACAACTACACATATATATATATATACATAGAGAGTCCTAAGATAGGAAATAATTCCTAAAGGATAGGAAAATAGAATAGGATCCCTACAGAATAGGAAAGAATATACAAAATATTTCCTATCTAATTATATCCCGATATTTCCTACACTCCCCCTCAAGCTCGGTGAATATAGGTCTTCCATTCCCGACTTGCATATATTTTCCTGAAATGTATGACTCGTTTAATCCTTTTGTTAGAACATCCGCCAACTGAAAATTCGTAGGAACATATGGAGTACAAATTAATCCACTCGTCGAGCTTTTCCTTAATAAAATGTCCGTCCACCTCTACGTGTTTAGTTCGGTCATGTTGCACTCGGATTGTGCGCTATACCGATGGCAGATTTATTATCACAAGTAGAGCTTCATTGGACCACACCATTCAACTTTCATATCTTCCAAGATGATTTTCACCCACAATAGTTCACATATACCTGCTGCCATTGCTCTAAATTCAGCCTCTCGCACTTGATCGTGCAACCACATCCCGTTTTTTACTCCTCCAAGATATCAAGTTTCCTCCAACAAAAGTACAAGTATCCCGTAGTCGATCTTCTCGTCAACTCGGAGAACCCGCAAAGTCAGCATCCGTGTAAACTCGCTAGATCAATATTCTGTTTTTTCTTAAATAGAATTCCTTTACCCGGGTGAGCTTTCAAATAACGAAGAACTCGTAAACAACTTGTAGATGAATTTCTCTTGGATCATGCATAAACCGACTAATAACACTCACGGAATAAGCTATGTCCGGTCTAGTATGAGCAAGATAGATGAGTTTTCCTACGAGACGTTGATACCTTTCCTTCTCCACCTTCTTATCACCTAAAGCTTCTCCTAATCGATGATTTTGTTCGATTGGAGTTGCTGCAGGTTTGCTTGCTGTCATCCCGGTTTCCATGAGTAAATCAGTAACATATTTTTGCCGTGAGATGAATATTCCTTGCTTAGACCGAGCCACCTCTATGCCAAGAAAATATTTCAATCTCCCAAGGTCTTTAATTTCAAACTCTTGGTTCAAACACTCGCTTTAACACTCCTTTCTCTATTTCATCATTCCCGGTTACAATGATATCATCAACGTAGACAATCGAATTGTGACTCCCCCGAAGCGAGTGTGTTTGATAAATAAAGTGTGATCTCCTTGGCTTTGTTTATATCCATTCGCAAGCATCACATGAGTAAACCAACCAAACCAAGCACGGGGCGATTGTTTGAGGCCATACAACGCCTTCTTGAGTTTACAAACTTGATTCCCATCACTACCACTAAAACCAGGTGGAATGCTCATGTAAATATCTTCCTCCAAGTTACCATGTAAAAATGCATTCTTCACATCATATTGCTGTAACTCCCAATCAAAGTGGACCGCCAATGACAACAAAATTCGCATCGTATCCATCTTTGCTACCGGAGCAAACGTCTCTTGATAATCAACCCCATATGTTTAAGTATAACCCTTGGCAACCGAGTCCGGCCTTGTATCGTTCTAAAGACCCATCCGCCTTAAGTTTCACCGTAAACACCCACTTACAGCTCGATCGTTTTCTTCCCTCGAGGCAACGGCACCAATTCCCAAGTACCATTCTTTTCCAGGTGCTTCCATCTCTCGCAGTCATAGCAAGTCTCCATTCTTCTTTAGATAAAGCTTCGTACAAAGAGTTAGGAATAGCAATTGAATTTAATGTGGACGAGATAGCTACGGTGATTTTGAGAAAAATTAGTGAAAGACACAAAATTGGCCAGTGGGTATAAAGGTGTTTTTGTGCAATTGCGGGTTCCTTTCCTTAAGGCTATAGGTTTGTTAAGATCAATCTCGGGTGGTGTAGAATCGGATGAGGGAGAAAAAATGTTAGAAATTGTTACCTCGGGTTCGAACTCGATACAAGTGATTGATCTTGTCGCAGAAAGCGAGAATGGCGTCCTTTTTCCTTGTATACACCCTATCAAACCGAAACTAATCAATCAATCTACCACTATCCTCTTTTTCTTCGCGGGCAAGAGAATGGTGGATTGGTAAACATGATCATCAAGAGGTCGTTCATGAGGAGCTACATCTCTTGATGAAGAAATATCAAGAGACAGATCAATATCGGAATCAACAATTGTAGGAAGCTCCTCCGGAATGTAAGGTGTAGAAAAATATGGTTTATTTTCAACAAAAGTGACATCGACTCGAGACATAGAGCTTATGAGTAGGTGGATGATAACACTTGTATCCCTTTTGAGTGACCGAATACCCCAAAAAATGCATTTAAGGGCTCTAGGATCTAACTTTCCCCGAGTGGTATTATGGACATGAACAAAGGATGTACACCCAAAAATACGAGGGGTAAGGTCGAAGGAAGATCGAACATCGTGGAAGAACCGAGATAAAATTTCCAAGTGGACTTTTGAAATCTAAGACTTTAGAGGGCATCCTATTTATGACATAGGCCGACGTTAAAACCGCCTCCCCCAAAACGTTTTAGGAACATTCCGTTGGAACAAAAACGCCCTAGTACATTCAAGAAGATGACGGTTTTTACGTTCAACGACTCCGTTTTGTTGTGGAGTGATGACACAAGATGACTCATGAATAATACCCTCTTTTTGAAAATAGGAAGACAAAGTCCGATTAAAGTAGTCACGAGCATTATCCGACCTGGATACGTTTGACTCGGTACCCCAAATTGATTTTTTATCATAGAGATAAAAGTGGGAACAATATGACCGACATCGACTTTTGTTTAAGAAGATAAACCTGGGAAGTTCTAGTGCAATCATCAATAAAAGTAACAAACCATTTTGATCCAAGTAATGTTTTGGATGGACGAAGGGCCCCAAATGTCACTATGAATTAAAGAAAAAGGAAAACTTGATTTTTTATTGCTTATTGGAAACGATACACGTGTGTGTTTGGCAAACTCACAAATGTCATACCGAAAAACTTTAACATCGACTCCCTTAAACAAGTCTCGGAAACATTATTTTTAAGGTAAAAAACGACAAATGACCTAGACGCCTATGATGTAACCAAATGATATCTTTATTTGACTCGTGAAAAACATGAGAATGAAGAAGATAAATTAATCGGGCTCGCTGACTTGGTGTACCGAAGTAGTAAAGGCCATTGTGCTCTTTAGCAAGTCCAATCTTCTTCCCCGACTCTTGATCCCGAAATTCACAACAACCAACAAAAAAGGTAATATGACAATTCAAGTCTTGGATAAGTTTATGAACGTAAATAAGATTGGTGGATAATCGAGGAACATGAAGAACATTTTTTAGCATCATGTTTTGACCAATTTGGATATCTCCAATACCGGCTATCGTGGTTGTTGTACCATCGGCTACGCTTATTTTTCGACTACTCGGGACAAGGTGTATAGGTTTTGAAAAACTGGATGTGTGGGTCATATGGTCCGTAGCACCCGAGTCTAAAATCCATGCATTCCGAAACTCATTATCCAAAACATTTAATCCAAAGGAGATGGGAGTTTTACCCGAGAGCGTTAATGAGCACAAACCTTGAGATTGGTTAGGAGGTGTAGCAGGTTTTTCCACGGATCCTAACAAGCTCTTGAGTTTTTCCAGATCTTCCATACCGAGTCCTTCTAATCCCTTCGGTTCGTTTTGTGTTGTCACATAGGCTTGCCTCTGTGACTGTCTTTGCTGCCCACCTCTTTGACCCCATTCTCGGTTGTGAGTTGACGGTTTGCCATATAATTTCCAGCACTCCTCCTTGGTATGCCAGGGTTTTTGGACAGAATTTACTTCCTCTAAGATGGAAGTTTCGGTTGTAGACATAGTGAAGGGACCAAAGGTTTAAAAAACTATGAAAAATTACAGCAATTAAGGCTGTGGAAAAAATTGAAGAAAACTGACAGCAATGAAGGCTGTACAGTGGCAGATTTCAGCAAAGAAACCCTAAGGCTCGATACCATGAAGAAAATAATATTTGGGAAAATAATTTCTGTATATTAATTACACAACTACACACATATATATATATACATAGAGAGTCCTAAGATAGGAAATAATTCCTAAAGGATAGGAAAATAGAATAGGATCCCTACAGAATAGGAAAGAATATACAAAATATTTCCTATCTAATTATATCCCGATATTTCCTACAATTTCTTCAGCAATGAATGAAATATATGGAATTGCATTCCTTTAGAAAAACAGTGGTGAAGTGTAGTTGCATACAATATGCTGAATTTCCCTTTGTGAAAAGGGGCCACTGCTGCTTTTGTTATTTCATGGTAGAAGTGCAGGTACTTAAAACCTTGTAAAACCAACTTCTATGTTAATTTATCAATTTCAAGCAGTTGGAATTAAAAATACTGATGGAGGGAGAAATTAGGTGTTAATGTTAAAGAATGTAGCTGCAAGCATGAACAAATCAAGCCTGAATAAATAAATAAAAGCCCTAGGCTTTTGAAACCAGAAAGATTAATCATATAAGGAGGATTTGATTTTCTGTTAGTCAGACCCTTATAATTCAGTCTTCCAATCCTATTCCCATGTAGCCTGAAACAATAAAGTGGAAAAAATAATAATAAATAAAAGCCTTATACTTAATTCGTTCAATCCATCTTTGGCTTTATGAAGCCAAAATAAGAATCAGGATTGCCAAGTTACTGGAATGAAGCATGAAAGTTTGAAAAAGAAATCCTTTGAATTATTTTATGAGCCCTCAT